CGGCCTGACCGTGGGGGAAAAGGAAAGAAAATATGTACAAGAGGATAGCAGGGGGAAAAAAGGAAAAAGGGAATGAAAGAAACGAAAAGAAGAAGAAAATGTCAAAAATTAAAAAATGCGATCATCAAAACACCTCGTTACCCCTCTTTCATACCCCGAACGCCCGAAAATGATGAGAAAAAGAATAAGAGTAGGGGTTTTACGCCTGGGGCGGCGGGCCTTGGCTGGCACCGCCACGTCCGCGGTAACCGCCGCGTCCACGTCCCTGGCCTTGGTAGCCTCCTCGACCACGGCCCCTTCCACGGCCGCTATGTTGGCCGTTCGAGTTCTGTTGCCAGTTGCCGTTGGCGGGAGGGGGTTGGGAGCCTAATTGAGCATGTTGTGTTGGAGTCTGGGCCTGCTGCTGAGACAGCATGGGAGCGGGACCGAGGCCGGAAACTTGGGTGGAGGAGGATGGTTGCGAGGGCTTAAAGTTGGAAATGGGACGAGGAATGGATTCGGGATTCTCGTAGACGTAAAGCGACTTGTCAATGGTGGCGGGAATGGCCTGAATCTCGGTGCCGAGGTCCTTCTCGATGTTGTAGAGGTTGAAGCGGTCATCCCAGTTGATGAGGTTGATGGCCAGGCCAAGATGACCGTATCGTCCTGAACGGCCGATGCGATGCAGATAGGTCTCGGCGTTCTTGGGGAAATCGAAGTTGATGACGACGTTGACGGCCTGGATATCGATGCCTCTGGTCAAGAGGTCGGAGCAGACGAGGTTACGGCAGACGCCGTTCCGGAAATCGTGGAAGACGCGGTTACGGGCTTGCTGGGCCATCTTGGCGTGGCTGTAGAAGCACGAGTAGCCCAGCTCGGTGATCTTCTTGGCCAGCAGCTCGACCCTGTTAGTGGAGTTGCAGAAGATGATGGACTGGTTGATCTGGAGCTTGGAGAAGAGGGTGTTGAGGCAGTGCACCTTCTGCTTCTCCTCGACGAAGGCGTAGTATTGGGTGATACCGCGGAGCGTGAGCTCGTCCATGAGGTTGATCTCGTACGGGTTGGCCATGTTTTTGTCGGAAAAGTCCTTGACGGACAGGGGGAAGGTGGCGGAGAAGAGCATGACCTGGCGGTCCTTGGGGTGGAATTGAAGAAGTTGCTCGATGACAGGGGTGAACTCGATGGAGAGGAGCTTGTCCGCCTCGTCCATGATGAACATGGGGCATTCACTCAAGTCGGCCACGTTCTTCCCGGCGAGATCGAGGATTCTGCCTGGGGTTCCGACAACGATATGCACGGGGTCCTGGAGGCGCATAATGTCATCGCGGAGGCCGGTACCGCCGGTGGTGACCATGACGTTAATTCCGAGGTGTTTGCCCAGGGTTTTGCAGACCTGGGAGGTTTGCATGGCCAGTTCGCGGGTCGGGACGAGAATGAGACATTGGATCCTGGAGACTTTCGGGTTGATCTTCTCGAGGGCGGGGATGACAAAGGCGGCGGTCTTGCCGGTGCCGTTCTTGGCACGCGCCAAGATGTCGCGGCCAGTCAGGGCAACGGGAATGGCTTCTTCTTGGATGGGGGAAGGCCGCTCGAATCCGGCCTCGAATATACCCATCAATAGATCCCTCTTGAGCTGGAAGTTCTCAAACTCCAGGCCTTTCGTGTTCGTAACATCCTGGATAGACGTGTGAGACGGCGGATCCTGAGACGAACAGAGGAACAGAGCGAGTTCGGATGACAATCAAGAACGTACCTCGGTTTGCTGCCTGGTATCCTTTGCTGGAACCTTCAGGTCCTTTTTCCAGTCATCCGGCGATGGGCCATCGCTGTCGGTGTTAGGGAAGAACCGTGACAATGAGTGGCCGCGGGTAACGAAGGAACCAAGTTGGACTCACCTCAATGTTGTGCCCTTGAATTGATCCGCAAGTGAATCGGCCATATCGTTGTGTGAAACGAGAGTGTGTATGTTGGGGTTGTGAAATATCGGCGACAAGTTGGCCGGCGGGTTGAGAAAGATGCAGGTGCCACCACAGGCAAGTAACGTAGGAAGGCCCAGTTAAAGGAGAACGTGGGCGAAGAGGAAGTGACGACTTTTGGGGAAGGGGGCGTCGGGTTTTCGTCGAGGATCGAGGACAATGCGTAGAGTCGAATCTTTTTTTTGCTTTCTTAAAGAAAGAGGGGGCTTCGTGTGTTCTAGAGAGATTGCTGGTTGCGAGAATGCCTCGTCCGGTTGGTAATGGGTCGCGGACCAAGGAGGAGAAAGGAGAAGAGGTTCAGATCAGAGGGCAAGAAGGCGCGGATTCGGAGGGTCTTCGGAGGGTCTTCGGAGGCTCTGTGAAGCGGTTCACCGTCTATCCCGTAGAGAGGGATGCCGAGTAAGTTTCGTCTGTAGGGCGTGTGGTTTGTAGTACGGGAAGAATATGGCGTTTTTGTGAGAGCTTGCGTTCAAGAAGGGTCAGGTCGGTCGGGTCGGGTCGTGGTATGATGGTCGTCAGAGACGGACGAGGTTGTGGTTGCCCTGGTTTTTTAATCGGGGTATCGTAGAAGCGGGTCCGAGAGGGCAAGTGCGTCACGTGACTACGCAATTCCATACGACGGTCGCAAGCATTCTCCGTAGGCGTTTGAATGGGGGAAATTTGCGGAGTTGGGAGTAATTTTGAACAAGTCTGTTTGAGTACGGAGTGTTGTGAGTACGGAGTAAGGAACTTTGTTATTCTTTGATGGGTTGAAGAAAAAGAAGGGGAGCCTTTCTCTTATGGTTCAAGGAGCTCGCTCGCTCACCTTGAGACCTGTCCTCGAAGTTCAAACCAATTAACTGTTGTTGATTGGTGCCACACCGAATAGGTTCTGTGGACGCGCACATACCACAAGTCGTGGAAAAGTGGTGCTCGTGGGGCGCTGAGACCAGGACATACCGAGTGACATGCCCCTCAGCGGGTCACCACGATATGGATCAGGTAGTGTACCTTTAAGGTAATGTACCTTATATATTACTCCCGTGCACGGTGAGTGATTCCTGAAGTTCCGATTTCAACTCCCGACGCCTCCCTTCGAAACTTTCCACTTTCCATCTTTTATGCAACCTTCTTCGAACCTTCTACGAACAAAAGCAACAAATCAACTTTCCTTTCTACTACCAACATCATCATCGAAATTCGAGGACCTCCATAATCTCGGTAGGTACCCCCCGTACCTGGACAAAATGCCAACGCCTCGAGTCCTCAAGCTTGCATCATGAACCTTGGTCCGAAGCCGAACCAGAACTCGAACCCGAACTCATCATGGCGCCAAAGACTTGCTCAAAAGCCCTCTCCACCAATATCCTAAATCTTTTCGCCGGCACACATCAGTCATGTCCCTCATCACGATTGCCTTTCTCGAGCTCTGGCTCGAGCTCTGTGCAAAGAAGGAAGTATGCAGTCATCAACGAGGGCCAAACAAAGTCGACCGATAACCCCCGAGACCGCTGCTACAGTGCTACTTTCTGGCCTTCCCATCCGAACCCTACGCCATACGATATTTTCGCCTTGGACAGGTCAACCCCTTACACCAAGGCCCGCTTCTACGACCTCGTCAAGCTCTATCATCCCGACCGCCACGGCCATACCCAGATCCACTCGCACTCCCACCCGCACTCCCACCCCCACACCCATACCCACGCCCAGTCACCACTCTCATCCGCAACCCGCCTCGAACGCTACCGCCTCGTCATCCTCGCCAACGACATATTAAGCGACCCCGCGAAACGGCGCGCCTACGACGCCTGCGGCGCCGGCTGGACGCACCACCACGAGCGCGACGCCGTCCGCGACCGCACCTGGCGCCACCACCCGGACAGCGCCGCCCACAACGCGACCTGGGAGGACTGGGAACGGTGGCACGCGCGGCGGCGCAACGGCGAAGAAGGAGGCGACAAACAACAACAACAACAACCCGTGTTCATGTCCAACGCGCACTTCGTGGCCCTCGTGCTGGCCGCCATCGCCGTCGGCAGCGCCCTGCAGGCGTCGAGGGCCCGCGAGAGCGCGACGGCCGTGCTGGGGCGCCGGGAGGCCATTGAGAGCGAGATCGGATACACACTGGCGCGGCAAAAGGCGGAGCGGAGCGGGCAGGGGAGGGAGGAGCGGATTGAGCGGTTTTTGAGGGATCGGGAGAATTGGGCTTTCGGGTTTGCGCCGCGGAGATACGATGAGGAGCCGCCGGGGTCGTCGGCGAGGAGGGAACGTGCTTCGCGGCATCAGAATGGGGGGTGACGCTGTTTCCGCATGATGCAGATTTGCGAGCTGTTCGGATACGCTACATGATAACGATTTTTATGTCCGCATTGGGAAGGTGAGGCAAGGAGGAATTATATAGGTGGCTCACGAGCCACCTCAAGATGTCGACCACAGTGCAGCCGGGTAGCCACCGTACGGGCTTTATTGTATCACAGGTAGGCTACTTTCTACCCAACTTTCCGTCAGCCACCGTAGGGTATGGTATGTATTATATATTGGCTCCTAGATGCTGCGTCCGTGTAATTTCTACTCCGTTTTGTTACACGAGCATGGCTGCTCTTCTAGGTAATCATTTCCCATCTGGTAGGTACAATAATACTACAACGTTATGAAAAGGAGCCGGGTCATGCTGACGTCCCGCACAACTCCTCAATGCGACTGCGCATCGCCTTTTCCGCGTTGACCGGGTCAATCCTCTCCGTCGGTCCCAAGCGGAGCATCTTGCCCACCAAGTACATGAGCTTCCCCTGAGGGTACGTCTTCTTATTCCCGCCAAACTCCTTCAAGACCCTGTCCTCGCCTTCAAGAGCCGACTCTACGAGAGCGCCGTACTCTTCTTCCGAAAGCTCATGGAACCAAAGGTCATGGGCGTCGATGGCAGCCGTGACACCGCCAGCCTCCCCGACGTTCCCATGATAAAGAGCCAAGAGGAGCTCCTTGGCAACTTTGCCGGTGATTTTCTTCTGGTGCAGGTGGAAGAGCAGTTCGGACAGGGATGCGACGGGCACCCTGGCGCATTGGCCCTCGGGCGTGATCTCGAAGGCTGTCTCGTCGTCTTGGGGGGACGACCTGTCGGTCACGAGGCGGCCGAATTCGTGAAGGATCCAGTTCGCTGCCAGCGGCGCATACTTCTTGAGGTCCGGGTCTAGTTCAAGGTCAAGAGGCTGCTGCGGTGTCCGGCCTTCCGCTTCACGGAGACGCTTTCCCAGCCCCCCCACGACGTTGTAGAAATACTCGATGCGGGCACCGTTGTCAAGGGCCATCAGCGACACGGCATCCTTGGCGCTGACGCCGTATCTGTCGACAAGCTCGTCCAACTCGCGGTCGGGCAAATGGGCCACGGATTCCTTGATGTGGCGGACCAAGTCCTCCGAGATAAGGAGGGGCCCGAGATCCGGATCCGGCATGTACCGGTAATCGACCTCGCCCTCCTTGCCGCGCAGGCGGCGCGTCTGTTTCGAACCTAGGGTCCACCCCCTCGTCTCGCCGACGACGGAACCGCCCGCTTCGATTTGGGCGATCTGCCTATCCCGCTCGGCGATGATGGCGTCTTCGACGGCTTTGATGGTGCTGAGGTTTTTGACCTCGGTGCGCGTCCCGAGACGGCCCGTCGCGGTGTCGCCTGTCCGCCTCACGGAGACGTTGACGTCGGCCCGCAGGCCGCCGGTCTCCATGCCGGAGACGCATGCGTCGACGGCGTTGAGCAGCAGCTGGATCTTGCGCACTAGTACGGCTGCGGTGCGGGGGTGGTGGATCTCGGGTCTGGTTATGATCTCGATGAGCGGGACGCCGACGCGGTTGAAGTCCAGCCAGCGGGCGTCGCCGGGTTGAGCGAGGGTCTTGGCCGTGTCTTGCTCTAGCTGGATCTGCTGGATACCAACGGTGACGCTGTCGCCGTCCTCGGGGGCGATGCCGTCGCGGGCAAGCAAGGTGATGCTGCCGTTCCTAGCGAGGGGCTCGTAGTATTGGGTAATTTGATAGCCCGAGGGCTGATCCCACCAGAAGTAGTGTTTCCGGTCGAAGCGACTGACCGGTTGAATGTCGCAGTTCAGGGCCAGGGCGGCGCGGAGAGCGGGGATGAGGGTCTGCGGTTGGAAAAGAGGCTGAGAACCAGGTATGGAAAGATCGAAGAGGGCAACGTGAGAATTTGGTTCGTCGTTAAAGGAGGTGGCGGCGGGCGAGAAGAGTTTGCGGGAGGTGTTGAGCTGGGCGTGAATCTCGATACCCACTGTCAGCTCCCATCCGTCCACCGTTTGGGCGCTTCCCTTTTGCGCCTTGTTCTTTCTGGACTCCTTCTTGAGCTGTTTGGCCTCATCTTTGAGCTTCTTGCGGAGTGGAATGATGGGGGTGTCGGCAGGTGAAGCCGCTGACGAGGTCGAGACGTGCACTGCTCTCGTAGCCTGAGGGGAAAAGGGTTGTAGACAGCGAGAGCACGAACACGAAGCTGCCACTCTACAAGATCCTCTGGGGGTGTAGTTTGAAGAAGCAAGGCAGCCCTTTCGAGGCAACTGGCCTTGAAGGAGGTATCTCCCAAGATGTCGGGTTGGGATGCGGGACATTTTCTGGACGTGGTCTCGAAGTTGGCGAGGTCGGGGGCTGCTCGTAAATCGGGGTCAGATTAATTGAGCCTCTGAATCAGAATGACCGCCGTGACACCAGGATCCTGCAAATTTCCTGGGCACCGCCCGAGGCAGCAGCGCGCTAATCTTTTTTTTTTTTTCTGCACCTCCACCACCCTCTTTCTCAGGATCTGGGTGTCGATTAGGTCTCTCGTGAAGGGCTGAAGGAGGGGAGGATTGCAGGTTTTTTTTTTTTGTTTTTGGATAAGAGAGCCGCTGGGATTCGCTGGCGGATTATCACGTGGCGCGGGGGCACGCAACAGGCAAGATAGAGAAAGGTGGTGTTTCACCAAGTGGAGGGTGACGAGATGTTGGTAAGGTGACTCGACTGATCCAAAAGAACTTCGGATACCGTGAAGTTGCTTAGATAATCCCAGCCTTGGTCTCCACTTCCCTGTCACCCCCTGCACAACACAACGCAACACGAGCTCTAGCAGCATCCGTTCACAGGCTTCTTCTCTTCCCCATCCCCACTGCATGATGCGGGAAACCGAGAATCCCGGTTGGGTATCATCATGCAGCCTAGCACCCTGGGACTGTGCCCGACCAGGGTGTGACAGACGAAGGGCGAAGGACGAAGACGATCGTCCATGGGACATCCATCCGTTTTCTCTTCGCTCTGCCCTCCAACGCGGGCGCCTCCATGCGATTTTGTCTTTATCCCTCCTTCGATGTCAGCCTCCCTCCTCCCTTTTGTCTACCTTACTTTCTAATTAATCTGTCTGAAACAACGGCCATCATCATCCCAAGATTTGGGTTAGACATCGACGTGAACTGGAAGCCGAGAGCACACACACACACACACACACACGCGATTGCCCTCTCTTGTGGCCTTGACGCGGAACTCGTCCTACCAACCGTTTTCCTCCTCTTTTTTATTTTCTATTTTATTTTTAGCACTATTCTATTATTTTCCTTTCTTTTCTATTTTTTCCTTGTCCTCCCCACCATCTTCCCCGAGTCTTTATCCGTACTTCGCCTCGGACGTCGCTTGTCAGTGTGATTCTTTGACATCACCATCACACCCGCTGAGAGCAAAAATCGCCGGGCTCACATCCCACCTTGCCGCTTATTGTGGCTTCCTCCCTTCTCCATCCCGCCTATCTATTCCTCTCTACCTTATTTATCCTAATATGACTCCTCGGTCCCTTTCTCCCTTCGACCATCGCTGATCAGTCCCCGCCCAAACGTCGGCAACCCCCTCGCGGTGTCTGACTATATGATTGCTCGCCAAGGCTTCCTCGGCTCCCTTTGTTTCCGTTGAGCCTGCATGCAGCACATGGGATTCCATCATTCTTTTCCAATGAGCGGGTATTAACTCGCTTCTATCCTCCTTCCTGAGATCCGTTTCTCTCATCAACATAGCACCGTAGTCCCAAGTCTACCTACACATTCGAGATGGCTTTGATATATGTTTCGCCTTCTATCGAAACTGTCCACGACCCACAGGGTGCCCAGTCAGCACCCCAGTCAGCGACGGTTCCGATCTTGGACAGGCCCGGAGATCGCAATGCGGATGGTACAAGTCTCACCGGCGCAGGCGACACGGGAACCAACCTGGACCCTTCCACAACCACGACCACGATACATCGCTGTGAGGTCAATGGGTCACAAGACCTGTCATCCAAACATGATTCGCATAGTACCGACTCGGGCGCACCTACACGTACTCTGGATGCCGCTCCAGTACAGAAACCAAGTAATCTCGCCGTGCAGGAGTTTGATCCGTCGAAGCTCGGCCGCCCCGTTTCTATGCAGGAGGACTCCCATGGTGCTTCAGGCAACACCGACACCGATATCAACCCCAAGATGAACACCAATATCAACACCAATAGCTACACCCATCCCGGGGTCCTCTCCGTCTCCGATTCTACTTCACCTACGCCAAGGGGCTCTCATCAGAAACACTCCATAAGAAACCCGCCCTCCCCTACAACTATGTCTTCGGTCACCAATGACACGTCCCTAACTGCAAAGACCAACCGTTCCGGAAGCTCTAGTGGAAGTGGCTCGACCATCACCCAGACCTCCTTCTCGAAGCACCGGAGTACAGAAAACCACAGGGACAAAAGCGGCCAAGATGGCAATCATGAATCCCGGGACAAATTCCACGGCCAGTCCCCCAAGAGCCAGCAAAGGCCAGACGTAATGTCCTTCCTAGAGCCCGATGCTCCACAAGTGCCCCGGGTCTCTATGCCGGCCGCAGCAGCAGGACAGCAGCACCCGCCGTTCCAGTCCCGTCCGTGGAGGCTAGGAGACGTACCACTACCACATCATCGCCAGCCAGCATCTACCAAGAGCACCTCGTCTTCGACGACCGGCAACTTTGCCAGTGCCCACGGCAACGGCACTGGCAGTGACGTCTCCTCGGACCCCACCCTTTACCCCGAGACAGACACCAATAGTGCCGTCCACGGCGTCAACGGTGGCGGCCCCCCTCCCCCCGTTCCCTCTTTCAGACATGGGTCCCGGCCCATGTCATCCCATCACAGAACCCAACAAGACCATGCTAGCCAAGGGGGCCCGGAAATGCCACGAGAGAACGCCCGCCTTCCGTATGGCTCGCCAAATGCCTTCCATGCCCGAAGGCCAGCTCCATACGACGACCACACCATCCACTTGCCCCGAGGGGAGAAGCTCCCCATGTCCGGCTACGAACTCCTCGCCACCAAACTCTCGGCGGGCAACATGCATGTCGGTAGCGGCCACACCCTGAAGCCGATGTACCGGAGGTTTGACGTCCTCAATCATCGTCTGCTCTTGCATCTCCAGGATGAGCTGGCCGAGCTCGAAGAGCAGCTCCACCGCCTAGACATGGCCGACACCCACGCGCGACGTGTGCAGAATTATATTCTCCCGGCTTCGAGGCGCCAAGAGGTTGCCACCACCGGCGAGCTGCAGTGGCATAAGACGGATATACTCGGAAAGGTTGGCTTCAAGCTTAATCAGTACAGTAAGCAGTGCCTCCCCCCCCCCCCCCCCCCCTTTTTCTTTGTCCCCTGTTCCTTTTTTTTCATCTTCTTGATGTTCGTCCAACACCATCCATCCACTAACATCGACGCAGACTCCGTCTTGTCTTCTTTCAAAGACACCCAGAGTCTCCCATCTCCGCACCCCGACGATATCCACACCTACCGTACCTATCTCGCCACTCACGGCCCCGTCATCGATACCGAGACCCGTTTCCTCGACTGGGAGGACGACCTCGTCTCCTTGGCCCGGCATCCCGGTGATGCCCCCATGCCCCACGACGTCTCAGACGACATGCTGACCCCTATGCCGCGGCCCTCCATGCGCTTCCCTTCCGTGCCTGGCAGTCCAACCTCTGACGCCGGCTGTGCCGAGTCCACTCGCAACGCTCCGCTCCAACCACAAAACCTCGATGCTCTACACGACTCCGGTTACCTACTTCCACGTCTTGTCATTGCAATCGCCGCGGCTTTTCTTCTTCCCTTGCTCACCTTCGCCCTCATCCCTAGTTTTGTGGGTCGCATGGCCGTCGTAGTTCTCGTCTGCCTCGGCATCTTTGCTGTACTACTCCAGTGGGGTTTCGTACGGACGGGTGTCGGGGGGGCAGATCGATGGGAAGGCCTGGGAGGGCCGCAAGACTGGACAATCTGTCTCGGCGTCTATGGAGTTGTCATGGCTGTCGTCGCGAGCTTTTTCTAGGCATGTCGTGTCCATAATTTTGACTCTTCTTGTTATTACTTATGTCTCTGGGCCTCCATGCGGTTTGCTTACAGGGTATGATTCTTATGTTTGAACATTTACGCAGCGTTTTGTATTTAATATCCGAGATGGCTGACTATGGGACGGAACTCGGGACGTGGGAGTTTCAACTCGCGGTATGCTGGGTTTAATGATGGCTTGGAACGGCGTAAGAAGAAGACAAAACGGATACCCCATGCGTCACCCTCTCCTGATGCACATCCCACGCTTCATATCATGATCATTTGTTCAGGCTACGAGTGCTTGGTTTTCCGGACTGAAAGCCAAACTCCATACATCTTATCTTCAGCTGACGGTCCCACAAGCCCAGAGCCTACAACTCCAGTGGAAGAGACTCGCAACTCATTGCACAGATGAGACGATATCACGATGGTTTCAGGAGCACAGAAGAGTGACGTCGAAACAATAACCTCCATTGGAAACGACTGTCCTGCAGCGAAATTGCACTTTGCCGAGGCGATAAACAGCGATGAGAAGAACCATGCTCCCAGGCCACTTCATCAACCCCGAAGCGAAAGAAGAAATCCAAAGCCACTGTCCTCTCCACCAAATTCTGTTCCCCCCCCCGAACTCATCCGCCGCCCTGCATCCAGGGTAGGCACACATTTCCCCGTCCATCAGTCATATCCTCATATCTTTTCCGCATCAGGAGCAAGTCGCAAACAACCCGTTTAAGGGGGCGACTGAACGGTGACGGAAGCCTGGCCGGCGCTCTGGTACGCCTCGGTGGCGACGATCTGGTAGTAGTGGTCGCCAAGGGGCATGCCGGCGGCGCCCCAGGCCTGGAAGACGGCGCCCATGTTGACGGAGCCGGAGGTGCGGTGCTGCTGGCGGATGGCCCAGTACTGCTGGAAGGTCTGGGTGCCGTCGATGGAGGGGGCGTCGTAGCGGGTGCTCTCGCAGAGCTCGTAGGAGCTGCCTTCGAGCTCCATGGTGCCGCGGCCCTCGGCCTGGGAGCACTAATAAAGGGAAAGGAAACTTGTTAGCTGGTGTGGTTTGGGGGGGTGTGTGAGCTTCGGGAGGATTGGACATACGGGGTTGTATTCGCCGTGGGCTTCGACGACGTAGTACTCGACGAGAGGGTTGCGAGTCCAGCCGTAGATGGTGATGTACTGCAACGGAAGTGTAAGCTCATGTCTTGGTGTGTTGGTTTTCTGATTCCTGGGGCTGTCTTACGCTGTTGCCGTTGTTCTCGACATACCAGTCGGCAGAGTAGGAGATCTCCCTGGGTTGAAGTTTAGCATATGTTGCTCCCACTCTCATTTCCCTTGATGGTCTCTGGAGACTGTGGAGAGAGAAGACGTCCGGTGGAAAAAGAAAATGAAAAAAAAAATGAGGGGGGGTCAACACTTACCGGTCCGTGCCGGGGTTCCAGCCCTTGCCGCCTACGAGGTTGCCGCCGGACTGCCACTGGACGCTGTAGGAGCCGCCCTGCTCGTTGTTGTAGGTGGCGGGGGAGGCACCATCGGACCACCACGAGTAGTAGTAGCCATCATGGACACCCTCGCTGTTGGGGGTGTTGCCCTGACGCTCGAAGATCCTGGGGACGGCAGCGGCGCCGGAGACGAGGGCGCAGGCCGCGAGGAGAGAGTTGATGTAATGCATCTTGAGTGTGCTTTGCTTTGTTGGAGTCTTTCTTCGAGGGGTGGAGTTGATTGCACAAGCTGGCTTCAGGGTGAAGACGATTGTAGTAAGAGACCGGTGGTGAGTGGCTTGGTGAAGAAACAAAGAGATGTTGAGGTTGATGGGAGATCTCGAAGCCTTTATATATCCATTTGAGGGCCCCTTTTCTCGTGTCGCTTTCCAGGATTCAAGGTTGTCGTCACGGCCAAGATCCCGGGTCCTGGCTTCTCCCCAGAATGGCACTTTACCCATAGGATCGATCTTCGGGCATCTTCGAGCAAGCTCGTGTCGCGTCTCGAGTTGATTGTCAGCCAGACACTGGGTCAACCTACCTACGTTGTACACCGGTGTACGTACCTTAAGGTACTTAGCATTTACAACTGTACGTACCTTTTGGGACCGACTGCCGGTTCTACCCCACACTCTAGGCCCAATCAGGGCTACTAGGCCCCGGTACCGTGCTTACCCCAACTCTACCCCAAGGGAACAGCCGAAACGCCCAGGGCCCCCGAATCTGTCACGATCGGCAGTTAAGCTTTAGGCTAAATCGTGGCGCAGGTCCTGCGTCTTGGACGAGTCCTCCCGGCAGCCCTGGCAGCCCTGGCAGCGCTGACGCGTGGTCCGCGTGGTTCCAGGCACCGAATTCCGTTGCCCCCGTTGGCCGTTTAGGAAGGGCAAGTGCATGAAGTGGTCCCTTGTCTCATGTGGCTGGATATTGAATGTCGTCATTCCTAGAGTCAGAGTCTCAAGAGACATGTTTACCGCCCAGGTTTCCAGCTTGATTCGCAACGCAGAATACGACTCCCAAAAATCGTTGAAATCGAATGATTTTAGCCGGGATCTCAAGGTGCGCTGACTTTTACTCCATGAAGAAAAAGAAAACGCCGATCATCACTTCTCCCCAAGCCCCAAGAGTGGGATAAAAAGGCTGCTGATCAGCACCTCCCCCCCCCCCCCCAGCGGCACTTCTTCATGGAGTAAAAGAAGACGTCAATCGCCCACTTCTTCCCATCTCGTGCTCAGGGTGAACCATAGGAGAAAGTTGTCGATCACCGCACCTTCCTCCGGCGACTCATCTCCATGAAGTAAAAGACAACGTCAATCCGACTGCGACTTCTCTCCCGGCTCTTCTCCATGAGGTAAAAGATCACACAGGGTACCAGACATTGAGGAAATTCTCCTTGATTCTCTCTCCGAGAGGCAAGACAGGCGTCAATCATCACCTGTTCTCCGGCTCGTTTTTCACGTGCAGGAAAGACATGTCGATCACCACAATCTTCCCGGCGGCAGCGGACCAGAAAAGCAAGGAAGAATCATGCATCGGAAGCGCGGACGATTCGCTGGGAATCTACGTGTAGAATACGATTTGATGCGCCGACCAGTCACTCACCACCCAGGGCGGCATTGACAATGAGGATGAAAAGGGCTTGGGCACAAAATGGGAATGCGACGACACGAAGGACAAGGTCAGGTCATCAACACCAAAGGTTCGCCACGTTGTGATGTGTTTCGTCCCAAATTAATATCCCCCGTCTTGTCTTGGTCTTCCTGCGGTGGCGGCGGGTTATTCGTCACCCTTCGGCTACCAAGTTCGGCTAGCAAGCTGTTCTCAAGAGTCAAGATGATGGTGATTGGAATATGGTTCTTGTCCAAGGAATCGACCGTGGTCGAGGGGTCAGCTGGGGAAATCAGTAGGACTTTGCTGTCATCACGAAACCTCAAAATCGGGCGGTTCTGTAATTAAGAAGAAACCTCTAATTAAGGTACCTTACGGAAACTGTTACAGATTCTATAGCCTGAACGTTGTCGCGAGATAGGTACTTGGAAGCTCGAAGTCCGCTTCTATTTTTTTTTATTTTTTTTTGGTACTCTGTATTACTTAGTGACGGTCGCTTTTTGTGTTAGTGCCGGGGTGTGTTCAGAACCGAGACCTGAGTCGCTTTCAGGGGCACACAAGCATTGCGGCTTACAAAGTACCTGACTTGGCCAATCATGAGAAATGGCCGGTCCAACCCACCAAGGCCAGGTCTTGGAGAGCTATTCGCCGGACATGGAACAAATAATGCTGGCGTTACTTACTAACAATATATTGGTAGATTTCATAAGGTATGTTTTCGGTCTCTTCTGAGTCTTCTCGGTGCTATCACACGGAACACTATGACCAAGGTAGACTGCGAAGTTCAAAGTGTCAGGGTACGTACTCTTTGCTCATTTCGTCTGCCAAACAATCTAAGACCATCAAGCCATTCCTCTCCTCAGACAACTGTTTTCCAAAGTAAGCTAAAACGCTATCAGAAATTCAGCCTTCCTTGGTTCCTTTTGGGGCGGGGGGTCTTGACTGGTATCTGCGGATTTCGTATCGAGGTGGTGCTGTATTAATTAGAGTGTTCCCCTTTGAAGATGCGGGGAGATTTTACACAAGGGCACTTGGTATTTTACTTGTAACGAAGTACGGGTGCCGGGACTTCGGAAACGTTGAGATCCGGACCGGAGCTGACCCACTATTCATCTCCGGAAGCTTCGCCCTCCGGTTCCTACAAGTCCGAGCCACCCTTTGTCTTTATCACATTACTGTATTTAAGACACTCAGAGGCCAAAAAACATCACATACGACCATACCCACTGGAAAACTCGGGATCCCGTCCGCTCTCCCCTAGATAAGCCAGTGAGGGCCGGATTAGTAGTTGGGTCGGTGACGACCAGCGAATACCCGGTGTTGTATGTTCTGTTTTGCTTGTCCTTTTTGTTTTCTTTTTTCCTTTTGTTTTTCCCCTTGCCCCCACCTCCCTCCCCCTTTATATTTTTGGTTCCGGTATGGCCTGTCGTCGTCATTCTCGCGCGCCTTCTCCAGATTGCAGGTCGAGTGGTGGCACTGTACATAGATGCATAGATCAATGTGGGTCAAGTCCTCGTGGGTCGATCGTATCGGTGTCCGGAGAAGGTGTCGGAGATCGTCGGTCTGGAGGGCAACATTGTGGGGCCGAAGTACGAACTTGCCCTGACCGGAAGAGAAGGCCGGGTAACAGTGTAATGAATTTCGTGGCGAAGGATGTCCTCTGGCCAGATTTGATTTGTTTGGACGGAATTCCGTGATGTCTTTCGACCTGTCCCGGGCTTCCCGGCTAAATACAACGTACGAAGCCACGGATTCCCAGAACAGAACCACGCTTTTGCCCAGAATGCATCTGGAAGGATACTTCCGTTCCTGTAACTTACTAGCGCGAAAAGGAACGGCGAAAGAGGCTAATTACGTAGTGGCGCGTGGCTTATGAGCTCGTCCCTTGCATTGGCTGATGCAGACGGACATGCGGCTTCCATTACGGGTATTATGGGAAAGCGAGGATTACGTAAGGGGATTCCGGGGTGAGCGCCGCAGCGGCAGCGGCAGCGGTGTGTGGAAAAGGCCCTATGGGGACTGGGACGGGGACGGTTGAATTGCTTCCTCATACCTAACTTCATTTCCGCATCGTTGTATTCTTGGACCATTCGGTCGACACGATGGATTTATCCTGTTCCATCAGGTCCATCAGGCCCATCAGGCCCATTACACGCCCCTCATGCATTCGTCTCCGTATAAAAGGGACGGCCTGGGAGCCGACTTGGCGGGCCTCTTCTCACTACATATTATCGGAACATGTTGATCGTTGATCGACAGCTCTTTTTCGGTTGTGCTTTCTTCAATTTAACCCAGTGACTTGGCCTGATCGTCATCGACACGGGCGATCCATTATTTCCCGCGCAACCGCGAAACAATGCCGACCTTCTCACGTACGCTCCTCCTCGCTGGCCTCCTGGCCACGGCGGCCACGGCCACGGCCAGCCCAGTGGCGAACCCCTTCGAGCTGCCCAAATGCCAAATCCCCCCGGGCATTATCATCACCCAGTGCCGGAAGCCCGGCGTGATGGCTTTGGGCTACGATGACGGCCCTTATACCATGACGTTGGAGCTGGTGGACATGCTCGACGCGGCCGGTGCCAAGGCCACGTTCTTCTGGACAGGCACCTTGTACGGCTGTATCTACGACCATGTCGATGCCATCAAGAAGGCGTATGCTTCTGGCCACCAGGTCGCTTCTCATACTTGGTAGGTTCCCTTTTACACAACCCTCTCTCCTTTCCCCGTCGCGTTGTATGCCATGATGCGCGACAGACACGCACATGTATCATAATAAAAAAGAAAGAAAAAAAAAAAGAAGGCAAAAAGGGAGGGGGAAAAGAAAGAAAGAAAGAAAGAAAGAACTCACAACTGTGATGGCAATTAGGACCCACCCCATAACCCTCGACCAAATGAGCAAAGCCGAACTCACCGAAGAAATGGAGAAGCTCGAGAACGCCTTCGCCAACATCCTCGGCATCCGGACCAACTACATGCGGCCCCCCTACCTCATGACGGGCGGCGAGGTCATGCCCACCATGGGCGAGCTGGGCTACAAGGTCATCACCCTGGACCTCGACTCCGGCGACTGGGACGGCGTGACAACGGCGGCGGAGAGCGCGAGGCGGTTCGAAGAGGCGGGCACCTCCGGCCGGGGCCACATCCCGCTGGTGCACGAGACGTACGAGAGCACCGTGCGCGAGCTGACGCCGTGGATCATCGAATGGGCCGCCCAGAACAACCTGGAGCTGGTGACGATCGCCGACTGCCTCGACGACCCCTCTGGTCCCTATGTGACTGTCAACGCGACCGGAGATGGCCAGATGACTTGCTGAAGATGACGCTTGAAGTGGGGGTGAGGCGAGACTCGAGACTCTCTTTCCCTCTCATGTGGGTGACGTCCTGGAAAGGCAAAGGCTAACGTGATGGACAATCGGGCATTCTGTTACTACCTGCGGCCGGATCAACGCGGCGGGCAAGGTTGGAACTTCTTTCGACTGTCCAAGTCGGCCCTGCCCGATATCACAAGTGGTTCAGTTAGTTCCCCAGTGCCGACGTCCTGCGTCGTCGTCGGTTCGTGATGAGCGCTGATCGACGACAGCCTTGTGAAGCTGATGAATTTGACAGGGACGATCTTGTCGATCCCGTTGTCGTCTTTGACTAAGAAAACATTAAAGTTGTTTGATGTGCACTTTTATTAATGATTTATTCCATCATGTCTTAAGACCAAGTTGTCGGTCCGCACATCTAAACTCGTTGCGCAATGGCCGTCATTCCTGGGGCCCGATCACCTAGTCTCAGTTACCGTGCCCATAAGGTAGGGGATGGGGATGTGATGAGCGTGGGCATTAGAATTCCGTCCGCAGGTATAATGGGAAGGCCTCAGAGGAATGGGGAATTCAACTGTATGACCTTGCTGCCACCCCTTTTATTTCTTGTCCTTAGGTGGATAGTCGCTGGAATTTCACCCCTCTTCCGTCTTAATCCTCGCAACAGACCAACATCCGTTGAATCGTGTCCCGCGATGCTCTGGGAGTAACATTCCTCTCCTGTTTTGTGACACTTTCTATGCGTTCGTATACGGCGTATGTAGGAGTCGGTGTGTCTCGGTGTGTCTCGGTGTGTACCGGTATATGTCGGTGTCTGTCGGTGTGTCCAAGGGCATCGTACGGATTCACTCGGTGGCTGGGCACGAAGAACTCCCCAACACATCCACCTTATCCTCCTGATTAACAAATTTATTCTTGAATTCCCTTCTCATACACATATGTGAAAAGTATGCCCCCCTATGCCCCGCAATATCCGTAAAACATTCGCAGAACAGAAACCCCAACTACACAACCTGTCCCTGATCACGCTTATCAACACACACCGGACACCCCGCCCGGATGTTGTCCTTCAGCAACCTCGCATGCGTCACCTTGGCGCCAACCCGCCACCCGTGGCCCGGCCGATCCGCCACCGCCGCGCCCATGTCGTCCTCCTGCTTGCTCCCCGGGTGAAGCCTCTCCAGGAGGTGCGCCAGGTGGTATACGTGCCCGCACGCGAATCCCACCAGCGTCTGCGCTTCCACCTCGGTGAACGCGCCGCAGCACTCGGCGCACTGGCCCGCTCGGGGGGCGCCGCGGCTGCTGCGTCGTCCGTCTTTGCTGCCGGGTTTCTTCTGTGTCCTTCCGTCTCCGTCTCCGTCTCCGTCTCCGTTGCTTCCCTTCGCGCCGTCGGCTTCGCCTTCTGCCGCTGCCGGGTTCGCTACGTCTTTCGTCTCGACATCGACGTGCTCGGGAGAATGCACCGCCACTTCGAACCTGATCCCCTTGCGCTGTCCCAGACGCAGCTCTTTCTGCGCCGCCGCCACCTCGCTCCGCAGCACGCGCGCCACGCCCGAGCTGATGCTGTACTGGATTTCGTGCTCCTTCATGATGTGCTTCAGGCCGTCGCGCAGGCCCTCGATCTCGAGGCCTTCGGGGATCCGCCGGACCAGCGTGATGGGGTTGATGGCCGTGCCGACCTGCTCCAGCAGGCCGCGGATGAAACTCGGCTTGTCCATGCTGTAGGTCAGGAGGTCTTCCCACAGGTCCGGGTCGTCTTGTTCTTTGGCAAACTCGATGGCCTTTTTGACGTCTTGGAGCCGGTCGATGATGAGGAAGAGGGCGCGCTTCATCTGGCCTGTCTTCGAGTAGAGGTATACCAATTCGTCGTCGTACCTGTACCGTTCGCATTCTTGCGCAGCCTGTCCCGCTGGTGTCAGAAAAGGGGTCATGTATGGCAACAGGGGCAAAAAAGAAGAAAAGAAGAAAAGAAGAAAAAAGAAGAAAAAAGAAAAAAAATTTACAAGGGGGAGGACTCAACACCTACCTTTTCAAATGCGTAACAAGTCGACGACTTGAGAAAGTCCATGAGCAGCGCCCGATCGTATCTGGCAAAGAGCCGCACCGCCAAATCGGCAAACTCGTCCACGAGGTGCTTGCTCTCCATCTGCAACCTCTCCCGGTTCTCTCCCGTATGGGCCTCCTCGAGGCCCTGGCCCTGATACAGCGCGCGGAGGTAGAAGAAGAGGAAGAGGTTGACGTCCTTCTGCTGCAGCTGCGATACCACCACCGAAGGCCGGACCAAGCCGTGCTGCGCCTCCTCCACCAGCAGCGTGATGGCTTCGGATGTGGCCTCCTCCAGGTCGCCTTCCGTCATGTCGGCCAGCCCGTGGGCCGGGACGCGCAGGCCGATGAAGCTGGGGATGTCGTCCGCCACCGCGTCCGCGAGGTGGTTCTCCCGGATGAGCCGGAACGCCGAGTCCGCGTCCTGGAGCCTGATGTAGCACTTGAGCGATTCCCGGTAGCGCCCGTTCGCTTCGTGCAGCTTGGCCAGCGACTCCATCACGATCCGCCAGTCCCTGCCCTTCTCGCCGCCTTCGACGCTGTCCTCGCGGACGTCGCGGTATTTCAGCTGGTTTTCCAGCGCCGTCGTTATCGTCTTGATGTCGAACAAGTCCGTCGGCCATCGTTCCAGCATCTCCTTGAACCTCACCTTGTCGGCCTGGATGTAGTGGTTCAATACCACCTCGTAGATCGTCCTCGAAAGGGGCGGATGCATGGGTTCCGATGGGATGTAGTTGGCGATGGCCTCCACCTTGTTCGCTCCGGCAAAAGTCCAGACCCATTTCTCCCAGCGGTCTGACGAACCGAGCACTTTGCCGCACACCTGCCCAGCCGTAGTCCAGTCCCCGGCCTCGATGAGCTCTCGGATCCAGAGCTCCCCGATGCGTCGCTTCTCTTTCTGTGCGGTGGAGTAGGGATGCGTTCCCACCGTCCCCGACCCCATCACAGACGAGGCATCATCAACAAACTCGTCGGGGCTCCCTTGCTTCTTGTCTGGCGTAGGAGGTACGAGTTCGCTGAGATTGGTGTCTGTGGGTGAGGCTAGAATGTCTGGGTTCTCGTCAAGCAGTTCCCACGCCTTCTGGTATTGTTGATGCTCCACCAACCAGACCAGATGATCCCCGAGGTCTCGTTTCGTAGCAAGGATGCAATCATACGGGCTGTGAATGAAGATCTTGACACCCGGCTTGATGAGGTTCGAGTGGACCGCCGGGGCGTTGGGTTTGGTAATGGCAGCTCTCGCGGTGCTTGTTGTGCTGGGAACCCTGTTGATCGACTCTTCATCACCGCTGTTCTTAGATCTGATGCTGGCACCAGAACTGAAGAGCAGCTTGGGATTGATGGCGGCATTCCACACCTCGGATCCAAAGTCAGCTAACGACTCCAGCGCGCCTTTGGAGGAAGCGACCGCAGAAGCGGCATTCTGCGCCGGTAAGATACCAAGGTGGTAGTCGCCCGACGATAGTCTTTCGTATCGGCTTACGATGAGGCCGTCGTCTCTATCCACCTCCGCCTGGGAAACAAGGTCGACGAGCCGCAGCTCGGGGGGGGGGTTATTTTTTCGCCTTCGAATACCGCCTGCTGGTTCGCTGCTCGCCGATGCTGTTGAGGGTTTAGATTGGTGTCCCCTGCTCTTGGGATCCGATTCCTCGTGGAATTCTTCTTCTTCCTCTTCCCCCTCCTCCTCGTCATGCAACGGGCACGCGAGCACGAGCAATAGCCTCTGGGTGTACAGGGAAATGCCCGAAATGATGCAGTCCATCCGCAGACTTGACAAACTGGTTAGCGGAGCTTGCACCTACGGAAAGAAAAAGCATTGAGCGATCTTACTGTTGTGCAATTTCTGCGCGGCCCACCGTCCTCTCTCCGGCATGTTTGCCGACACCAACACCGCCGGGATGCACATGTATGATCCAAATCGTGCTGCCCCAGCCTACGATGAGTCTTTCGACTTTCTTGGCATGCGATGCTGCTTGTTGCTTCAAGCTCTCGGCAGCGGCCGACATGGCCGTGTCTCCGTCGTGGCTTGGCCCGTTGTCGTCCACCTCGACAGCCTGCTCATCAATCCACTCGGCTCTGCCCTTCCAGACGCTCGCCATGACGTCCCATTCGTCTGTTTGAGGCCGATCGACGTGACCGAGCCGCTTCCATGCGTCGTCCGCATCGGCGCTATCCAGGTGCAGCTTGGTACGCATGATTTTGAGGCCGTGTTCGTTAAGCCAAACCACATACTTGCCCGATAAGGACCACTTGATACTGCTGATGGTCCCTTCTCCGGAATGCAAGACGGTGTCTTTCCCCGTGTTGTGCCCTAAGCCCATGCTACCGAGCCAGCCCGAAGCCGCGGCCGCAGCGGTCCCGACGGTGGTAGACGTACTCTTTCCGTTTGGCCCGCCCACTGTGAGGATGAGCTGGCCGGCCAGGCCACCCGACAGATAGGTTCGATCGTTCTTGTAGTCGGGGGAGATGGCAACCGCCTGGACCGGTCTCGCAAAGTTGCGCAGCTGTACGTCTTTCATGTCGACGAGGTTCTGGATGCACACGTGGCCGTCCAGTGAGGACGTCGCGATGTGGATGTTATTGGCAGGCGTGTTGGGAATTGGGGCCGGCTCTCTCGATCTTCTAGTGGCGGCAACAGTCGAGGCTTCGGAATGGCGAGAGGCAGGTCGCAGAGAGCCCGTAGCGGGCTGGGAAGCGAGTCTTTGGGCGGCATCCGGTCGGTCGGTGGGAAGAGGCGGTGGAGAAGGCGAGATGGAGATGCTTGTGACGGATGCTGCGTGGGCATGGTAGACTCTGAGAGATTGAAACATGGGTAACTGGATGACATGCTATCGGGTGAGCGCGTTAGACGAGCCGGCATTATTGGGCTGAAGTGAGTGGTTGACTCAGTTTTACTTACGATGTTGCCATTATGTGTTCCAATGATCTGCGTCGTCATCTGTTAGCATGCCGAGACAAGGTTGCGGGTGCCTACAGAATCAATGTAATACCATCTTGTCCCCAGCGACAAGGAAGGCACTTGTCGCGTCTCCGTTTCGATAGACACCACCCAGATGTTGAGTCAGTCGAGCATATTTGAGCCGGGGCTCTTCGTCCTCTTCGTCCTCTTCATCTTCCTCTTCATCTTCTTCGTCCTCCTCATTCTCGTCATCTTCGCTTTCCTCCTCACTGTCCTCTTCCTCTTCCTCTTCCTCGTCTCCCCCCTCCCCTGACTCCTCCACTTTACCTCCTTCACCACCTACTACACGGCTAGTGTCGGTCTCGCCGTCATGGGATGCATGGCATGCTGGAGCTTCCGGCAGGACTTTGCTTTCGTTTTCGGTTTGATGAGCAATATCCGGCTGCTTTCCCTTGTCTACTGCGGGTGGTGACTCGGTCTCGGGGCTAGAGCTAGGATCGTGGCCGGTCCTAGGAGAATGCTGGGGGGATGACTCCGGCATAGCTCCCGTCATTCTGGCAGTCGAGTATTCGAAGACCGGGGTAGTCGCATGGCTAGTCGAGGGGGCGGTGGAGGGACGTGTCGACGTGGGGTGGGCGTGTTTGGAGCTGGTGAGGTGCTGAATGCCTAAAACTAAAGGTGGTGGTCGAAATGCAGGTACAAAGAAGCTCGGATGGAGCTCTCCGGTCGTTTTTGACGTCACGCGTTCGCCGGTGGAGCTGGCGCTTAGGGCGGTAATTACAATTTCCTTATGTAAGACAACCAGTATGGCGTTTACGATAAGCAGTGTACCTAAGGTACTTCCTACCTAGGTACCTTACCTAATAAGGGAATAGCGATAGCGAGCGCTAAGCGTTGCCCCACCACCCCACCACACCCAGGAACAAGGTGGTCAATGCGCGGCTCGAGGGTCGAAACATCAACAGTCAAACGGTCACAGCTGGGAAGTCGCGTCTCTTTTCATCTCTACGCGACCAACAAGGCAACCGCTTCCAACAACCAAACCCCAACCCCAACGACCTGCCCTTGTGGATCGACGCTTGCCAAGGAATCCCCTACGTCGACATCCGAGCGGGCTTGATGGAATCTCGACTTCCTTCTCCGAACCCTCCTATGAACCCATAAGGCAGCCTCTCGACTTCCTCCCCCCCCCCCCCCCCCCCAGAGCCAAAGCTTCACCGACCGTCACCCCTCGCCGTACTTATGGAGCCCAGGCGAAATGGCCTCGGTCAGGTCTCTGGGGCTACATCAGCCCACAGCTTTTCAACGTACCGTTGACGAGCTTGCTCCCCCAGGGAAAGCTACCACATCATCACCCCCATACGGTTGGGAATTTACCATCGACGACGAGAACGGTGAACAAGTGGAGGATGAGCTCCTGGTAACAAAGACCTCTGTCATCTGGAGCCGCGGGGATGTCTTTCGAAAATCTTTCAACTTCGAGCTCGAGAAAGAACCCGTCACACAAGCTCTCATCACCTACTTCCCCGCCTACGAAGAGAGCCGCGCCCCTTCCTCCTCCAACGGCTCTTCCCATGGAGCCCGCCCAGCTCTTCGTGAGCCGAAGCTTTCCAAGGCGCTCTTCGTCGTCTTCCGAACCCAAGCCCATATCCACTTCGTCTCCGGCAACAGCCATGTTGTCCATATGCCCTTCGAAGCCGAAGCCGTATGTGCCGGCCCTCGCGGCGTCATCATCCAGCGCAAACAGCGGGACGACAACCTGGCCCCCATATTCCCCAAGTTTCCGAAAGTACCGCCCAACTCTTTCGTTTCCTCCCAGACCACGGCGCCGTCGCTCCGAGGCTCGCAGCAGACTGTGTTCTCCGTCGAGGGCCTGGGAAACCCCAAGGTCTTGCCTCTCCGACTCAGCTCAACTCTGGAAAACATGTGGGAGCCACAGTTGGACTACCCCGAGTCCAGATGGCCTCGTCTAGTCTCTCTCATGGACCCTTTGCAGGACCTGGGGCTAGTAGTCACCGCACAACCCGATACGTCGACCAGACATCGAAGGTCGAGGAATGCTTCCAGATCGCCCTATTTCCTGGACCCGGCCGAGGAAATCCTCCACATCGAAGAGATCAAGTTACCCGGTTCACTCCGAAGCAGCAACCCCCTCATCCTTGCAATCACCGTCAACCGAGAGACGAGCTCATACGGGGTTTGGAGGCTGATGTACCTTCACAACGGGGATCCTTTCATCAAACAAGCGAAGACTGAACTCATCAAAGCGGACCGTCGCCGCAGCTCCATGCAACCAAATTTCGCCAGCGGTGCGTCGACTCCCGTACAACCCAACTTCCGCGAAAGTTTCGGTGCTCCGCTGCCGGGAAAGCGAGCCCCCCGGAAGAGTGAGAAGTTTGAAAAATCTGACAAGGGAGAGAAGACGGACGCCCTCGATTTCGTCAGCTCGTTAGATCTGGACAATGATGGAGGCAAAGGCAGGAGGCAGTCCCGCAGGGTCAGCTCCATGCTGGCCCGGGCAGACCTCTCCGCCTCCCAGGAACAACCCCCCATGTCTCACCACGCCGGCTCCAGAAGACTAGAATCATACGGCAGTCACAGTCAGGGACCGCGACTGAGTGGCGGTACCTTTGGCTCCCTTCATTATAGTCAGACCATACACCCGAGCCTCAGCAGTTTGTTGGAAGCGCCCGTAGACAACGTCCTCGACGAGCTGCGGGCGGGCGGGGACTTCGAGGGCTTCCACAGCATGGGCCTCGACGATCACGGCTTGGACGGCCTGGCGCAGGAAGTCCTACTCAGCAAAGTATACAGCATCCCCATGGATAACTCCAATATTCGGTATTCCCTCTCTGACCAGCCGGCTCGCATCCAAAGCAAGGTCTTCATCCTCGAGGCCCCGCGCTTCTCCGTCGAGGACCCGGCAAAATGCGAGATTATCATCGGCTTTCAAGACGCCATGGAAAAGAAACTGCAGCTGCTTACGGTGGAAATCCGGAAAGGGACCAAATTCCTCGCGCCGCCCCGTGCTGACCATAGGATCTCTCCGAACCTCGATGATCTTCGACTGACTTGTGGACAACTCCGCCGGGCCCATCCCGTGGTCGACTCGTGCAAGGTCACGGATGGCGGTCTCTCGGCCATTCTCATCCTCTCGGAAGGCCACGACAACCGCCGCGAGCTAAGCATCCAGGCCCCCTGGCTCGAGAAGACACCCGTATCCGTTCCCTGGCTGCTCCTGGAGAACGAGAGGAGTCTCCGTCATGCCGGCCGGGTCATCGACAGGGATGTCGGCCAACGCCGGTCCGAAGCCTTTGAAATCACAAGGGGCGGCGTCATCGGTCTTCGGTATCCCAGAATTGGCGGCATCGTGGACATGGTGGACGGCACCGACAGGCATCACCAGATTCAGATCCAGCTGCAACCTCGAAACCCCCTGGTCCGTAAGGTCTTGGATGCATGCAGGAGCGTTCTACCGCCTTCCCATTCTAAGCGAATGTTGCCCAGTTGGTGGAACGCCATGCAGTGGTTACGGGGCCAAAACGCGGGCGTTGCCGACCCGGAGTGGTCCGCCTTGACGATCCAGCTCCTGGCCTTATTCCTGGCCCTGGGTAACCCTGACCTACCAATGCCTTCCACTACGCCACGGTCTGCTAAAAGCAAGAGGCGCGCTCATTCCGGCTCGTTCGGCTCGATCTACGACGTGGAAGACTGGAGGACGCTGCAGTCCTATGAAACGCCCAACGCGCTGGGATATCCTCCGTGGCAGCAGGCCCGAGCCTGGGGGTGGACGGTAGACGATGACGAGGCTGATGGCCATTCTCCGGACTTGGCCGACTCCAAGTTTCTTCCCAGACATGTCCGATTTGCCAGGTCCTACTTCGCCTCCAGTACCAGTGCCGATGTGGGAAACGCGCGGTGGTTGTCGGCGGCCTTGCGCCGCAGTGGTGAGAATATTGGGAATACCGTCTCCAACTTGGCTATGGCTCTTCATCTGCTTCTTGAAGAGCAGAAACTGGACGTGATGGTCCCGGAATGTGCTTCTCCTGGGAGCGCAGAACTGCGTTCTCTTGTTTGCCAGTTGGCACGATGGCTCAGGTGGCATGATATGGTTTCTATCTATTCCCTCGGCATCCAAGACTTACCCGACTCGCGACCTGAGTATGACATCGGTGAGTGACCGGCCCATCATGTAAACTTCGTCCCTAATTTTTCAGTTTACTGACCAAGGTGACTTTTCGTGACGAATAGAGCTACCAGGGCTATCTCTGCCGCAACCTCCCGCGCTATTCTCCGATATCATCGAGTGGATTCGGTCCTGTCTTACCAAAGGAGACCGCTCACCGTTCCCAACCTTGAGGAACCTCTACGACGCCGGCACTCCGGCTTGGGGCCATGAGCAACAGCAGCCTCCCGATTTACGGTGGGACCCCATTACACCGAGGACTCTCATGTTTGTAAGATTCTTCGACAAAACGGGCCCCAGGAGCGACGCCGTCAGCATGGTTGAGGCCATGCATGCGGCCGGCATTACCAAGAGGGTGCTCGAGACTCTCCCGGAAGCCATCTTGACACCGCTACGAGATGTCATCTCACGTTGCCAACCTCGGCCTCCGGCGTCCTGGTCGAAGGAGCTGCTCCATCTCGTCGGCCGGGGCGATATCAGTCTGATTTTGGAGACGCGCAAAAAACCACGCTCGAACCTGACGGATATTCTGGTACGTTAGAGAGGCCCGACCTCTCGAAAATATTGGTTTATTAGTGCGCTAACAATACCAGGCCCCGACGCACAATGCCTCCTGGGACTTCAGAGCCGTGTGCCAGAGCGTCGAAGAGTACAACTCGGTCGGCCATGATGATGCCGACGGCACGGAGAGACAGGCTGTGATACGAGCTTTGTTCAAGGATGACCGACGACTGAAAGAAGCACAAGGCCTGTTATCGACGCACCGACCCCGCGCAGTGCGTCTGTATCCGCAGCCGGGATGGACGGAGAGTGAGTATCTCGAGAAACAGAAGGAGCTGGTTTCTCGAGTCGCGACTGGCACCCTAGCTATCCCAGCCGGCCGAGCTCTCTTGTACTACGGCTCTCGCTTCCCGCTGCTTACACAGAAGCTTCACATCGGGGGCTTCAACCTGAACTGCATCGTCCGACCAACCAACGTTACGGTTGGTGTCGACAAGACCCAGTACACGGAGGAGAAGGTGTGCTGGGGCTTCTTCCATCAGGGCGTGGCCGCAGGGTTGGCCATCTCCCCCGAGGCCAAGGGGATCGACACGTCCTGGATCCTATATAACAAGCCTAACCAAGACTTGAGTAACCGTCATGCTGGGTTTTTGCTTGCTCTGGGTCTCAACGGTCATCTCAGAGACGTTGCGAAATGGGTCGCGTTCAAGTACCTGACGCCGAAGCACACCATGACCTCGATCGGCTTGCTCCTCGGACTTGCGGCGTCGTACCTAGGGACGATGGACTCTCTCATCACCCGCCTTCTCTCGGTTCATGTCACGAGGATGCTGCCACGGGGGGCGGCCGAGCTCAACTTGTCCCACCTGACCCAAACAACCGGCATCATGGGCATCGGCTTACTCTACTGCGGCAGCCAGCACAGGCGGATGAGCGAGATCATCATGTCCGAGATTGAGCACGTCGAGGAAGAAGACGAAGAGGAGCCTCTTCGGAACGAGTGCTATCGGCTTGCCGCCGGGTTCTCTCTCGGCTTCATCAACCTTGGCAAGGGGAACGACCTCAAGGGGTTGCACGACATGCGGCTGACCGAGACGCTGATCGCGATGGCCACGACAACCAAGAAGGTGGAGGTGGTGCACGTGTTGGATCGGGCGGCAGCCGGGGCGGTCATGGCCCTGGCGCTCATATACATGAAGTCGGAGGACCGGATCGTGGCCCGTAAGATCGAGGTACCCGATTCCGTGATGCAGTTCGACTACATCCGACCCGACATTCTCCTGCTGCGGACCGTCGCGAAGAACCTGATTCTGTGGAGCGAGATGGAGCCTACGTTTGACTGGATCTCTGACAACCTGCCCACCGCGTACCGTTTCCGGCACAGACTTACGGGCACCATCGCCCTCAAGAGCACAGACCTGCCCTTCTTCAGCATCCTCGCCGGGCTCTGTTTCTCCCTGGCTCTTCGGTTCTCGGGCAGCGGCTCTATCAAAGTCAGAGATCTCCTCGTGCACTACCTTGACCAGTTCATGCGCGTCACTCGTATCGCGCCGACCAAGAGGCCTCCTCCCCTCGACCACCCCGTTTACGACGAAGAGCTTGCCAGGTCGAACGCGAGGATGTGCCAGGACGTCCTGGCCATGTCCGTAGCCATCGTGATGGCAGGCACGGGCGACCTCGTGGCGCTGCGACGTCTCCGATCGCTTCATGGGCGGGACGATGCAGACACGCCTTACGGCTCGCATCTGGCCGCACACCTCGCCATCGGCGCCTTGTTCCTGGGCTGCGGCACGGCAACCTTTGGCAGCAGCGATTTGGCCATCGCCAGCCTTCTCGTGGCCTTTTACCCCGTACTGCCCGTGTCTGTGGCGGACAACCGCTCCCATCTTCAAGCCTTCCGCTATTTCTGGGTCCTGGCCACCGAGAACCGCTGCCTCGTCACCAAAGACATGGCCACGGGCCAGCCCGTCTCGGTGCCAGTTCACATCCGGATGAAACCGGCGCTCGGTTGGGGCAACACAGGCGCCGCCGCCGACGATAGCGACGACGGCGTCCTCGTCCGCACCACGCCCTGTCTCCTCCCGCCCCTCTCCGACATGGCCTCCCTCCGCACCAGCGCCGGCCCCGCCTTCTGGGACGTCGAGCTCGACCTCGTCGCCACCCCGGCCGTCGCCGACGCGCTCGCCAAGAACCAGAACCTCCACCTCCGCCGCCGCCCCCCGCAGGAGGCGCCCTTCCGCGCCACCCTCCGCGCGCTGGGCCACGACGCCCTCACGGACGCGACCCACGACGGCACCGGTCTGCGCCATGACCCGCTGGCCTGGATGTTTCGGACTGATGCCCTCCGCGGTCTCACGCACGCCGAGCGGGCGCTTGTTCTGAGCCGCGGCACCGGCGCCGAAGGGGGGGGTGCTGCGTCGGGCTCCTATTCGGCGGTCGATGCGCGGCTGGTGCTGGAGCAGAGCGTTGACGGGGCTTCGCGCGAGAGGCTGCAGGGTCTCAGGTTACTTTTCGACTGGGTTGATACGCGGCGGAGGATGGACGTGGAGGAGCAAGGCGGGGGGGAGAAGAAGGGGAAGGCGAAAGATGAGAAGAAGGCGGAGAATCTGCGAATGGAAACTCGGTGGGATCAAGGCTGGTGGCTTCGTGATAGTGTCATTGAGGCGCTCAAAGGCCGGGTATACCTTTCCGGACGTGAAGAATGAGGGGATGTATCCTCATTCATCCGGCGGAACTGGGATGGAGGGGGTGTTTGTTGTTCTTCTTTCCCCTTTATATATGGTTAGTAGCATTCATCATGGTTGCTTGCAGATGATAAAGGGGGATTGGCGAAAAAAAGGAATAGGGGGAAGGGGGGCGGGTTTCTCAGAAGGTTGGCCACATTAACGAGGCATGTCGTCAACTGAAAATACAGGCAGCCTCTTCACCCATCGTGGGGCATATCACGACACGAGGAATGGAGCAGAGGTATAGATGGCTTGTATGCCCCATAGAGAGATATTATGAGATGCGGTCATCCCCGTGGCGTGGTGGTGTCTTAATTCTGTAAAAAAAAGGGGCAATAGGAAAGCAACCACTATCACTATGTCTGCGCCCGAACGAAGAAGTTGATCAAAACCTCAACAATAACACGAAAAGTAGAAAGACTGCGGCACATAAGCTGAAGAGATCAATTTCTACAGTTAACGATAAAGGACATCCGGCGGCAAGGGAAAGGGAAAAAGGGGTGTCGAGTATCAAAAGCAGGCCACCAGCCATTTCCACACCGGGGACCTGAAGATGATGAGGATGGTACTAATGAGACCAAACACCCATATTCCTCATATGGCCCCGTCGGTGTCGTGTCATGACTTTCCGGTCCCCCCTTTTGCTTCCTCTTTGTCCCGCCGTTTCGTTTCGTCCGCCCCGTCCGTCCGTCCGTCAGTCCGTCCTCTTGTATACCCGAAACGCCGTGCCATGAGAGATGCCAGCAAGTTTGAAAGCTAAAGCCTACCCTCCAAATACGGACTTTTTTTCTCTCTTTCCTTCCCGTTGCTGTTGCCCTCTGGTGTCTTTCTGTTCCCTCGGCGGACTTCTTCCCCTCCCTGTGTTATTCTTCATCGTGGGATTCATGATGAGGTGAAAAAAATGGCCCTGGGTTGGACTGAAGCGTGATCGCTGCAATTACGAGGTCGTGCTTCGCGCAGTCCCTCTCCCCTTTGTGTCGGGGTCCTTGGGGGGGAAACACTACCGTACCGGAACACTTAATTCAGCCCTCGGCGGGTTTCCCCCGAAGGCTCGCTAGGGCAGCCAACGCAGCCCGCAACGCAAGACCCGAAAAAAATGATAAATAAATAAAAAGAAGAGAGGGAACTCTACTTGGACACAGCGGCGCTGAGAACCTGCGTACGGAAGAACCCGCCCTTGGTCTTCTCGATAACCTGCTGGTACACATTGTTGGGCGGGTGGTTCATCACCACGGTGCCCTCGCGCGAGTCGATCTTGGCATCGAGGCGGGTCTCGCGGATCAGGTTGACGATCCACTTCTCGCCGTCGTCGGGGTTGAGTCCAAGCTTGGCGGAGAGGTCGCGGATGTTCATGCGGCTGAAGATCTTGCAGTAGCTCTCGCAAATCAGATGGCGTGCGGCGTCGACAAAAGCGTCGGCGGTGGCGGCGAGGAAAAAGTCGCCGCGGCAAACCTGCTCGGCGCGGGCGAGGGCCTCGCGGGCGGCGTTGAAGTCGTGGGCGATGTAGAGGGCGGAGACGAACTCGGTGATGGGGTCGCTGTACTCGTAGGCCTCCTGGCGCACGTAGCGGACGACGTCCTTCATCTGCTTCTGGTTCTGGCTGGAGTTGCGGGTGCGCGAGCGGCCGGTGATGACGGCGGCGATGAGGTAGCGCAGGACCCAGGGGCACGAGGTCTGGATGGTGTTGATGAAGGGGGCGGTGAAGAAGAGGTCGAGGATGGGCTCGCGCGCGGTGTCCGAGTTGAAGAGGGGGAAGAGGGCCCAGTGGACGAGCATGGTGCGGTGGTCGAGCTGGGCGCGCGTGTTGTTGTACAGGTTGGTCTCGATGGCCTCCTTGACCTTCAGCAGCTCCTCCACGGCCGAGGCCCAGTTGGTGGTCAGGATTTCGGACGCCAGCTTGCCCCATGTCGCCTGGAACACCTTGTCGTTGTCGGTGGACAGGACACGGAACTGGTAGAGGAGTTCGGCGGCAGAGGAGTAGTTGCCGCAGCGGAACTGGAACTGACCAAAGTCGTAGAGAGCGTTGACCATTTCGATGGTGACCTGGTGGAGTTTCATTAGCATCTGTATGGAACGAAGAAGAAGAAAAGAAGAAAAAAAGACAAAACGCACCTTGTGCTCCTTCTTCAGAAACTCCAAGTTGGCAACCTTGTCACTCCGCAGATTGGTAACGACATCCTCCATGGTCAAAAGCTCCGAGATGCGCGCCGTCTCCTGCTCGTACTTGTCCAGCTGGGCGATGACCTCGTTCCTCTTCTTCGTGTACTCGGCGGGGGCCTCGCTGGCGTTGTTGGCCTCCTTGTACAGCTCGGCCACGTAGTCGGCCATGTTGGTGTCCTCGAGCAGCTTGATCTTGCCGGCCAGGATCTGGCGGGCCTTGGCGTCGTCGCCCTTCTCGTCCGCCTTGCCGGCCTCGAATTCGATCAGGGGGAAGAGGAGATGCCGGCTCAGCTGCGAGGCGAGCTTGGGCAGGATGTTCTCGCCGTCGAGGGCGGCGTATATGTCCTCCATGATGGGCGGTCTGTGACGGATGTTTTATGTTTGGGGGGGGGTTGGTGTCGTGTTGAATTCGATGGGGTCGGGTTGGCCCGGTCTGGCTGGATAGGAGAGATGGGCCAAGTGTAGAATTCCCAGGAAGAAAAGTCCTAGGGAATTAGGTATTGGCACGAAGGAATGGCTGGGCTTGGCCGACCGTCGGTGGTAGTGACGGGGGTGGGTGATGGAGGTGGTAGGTGAGAGAGAGGGGCAGGGCAGGACAGGACGGACAGTGGGCGTTACGAGATTTTGGCGATTTTTTTTTGGCAAAGACGAGAAGGATATTGGTGGGGTGCGTGGTGCCAAATGTGTGGGTGCCGAGCGCCGGCTTTACCACCCCGGGCTGACTCATCAGGGCTTTACCCGAGATTCAACCGGCGCAGAACGCGAGAACCCTGAGCTCGTCTCGTCCGTCCTCGTACTTGCGTAGAAACTTGACTTTTGAGAGAAGCATCACGGCTTGTCTGTACCTTGAGAGCCGCAGCGTCGAACTGCAACCGATTATTGGTTTTAAACCCCGAAAAGAATATTCAATCTCCCACCGATTTCCAGCTCACGCACCATTGAAAATACCGTACAACAATCCTTCGACCTGAAATCATGAGGAGTCTATTGATCAGGGCATTCCCTGCCCGGCCGACCACCATCACCACCCTCCTCCCCTCCCGAGCAACCCTCCCCTCCATCGTCCGCCTCTCCTCGACAACCAGCACACCTTCACCAGCAACGACCACGGCACAAGAAGACCCATCCACCACCACCACCACCAGCACCACCACCACAATAACCCGCAACCCCCCCTCGACCCCGACGCCCGCCCCATCCCACACGAGACCCTACCTCATCAACCTCTCCGCCTCGAACAACTACCCCGTCTACCCCCGCACCAAAGCCGCCGGCCAGTCCAAGTTCACCGTCATCAAGCACGTCGAGGGCGACAAGCGCGCCTTCGTCCAGGACCTGTGCGAGGAGACCGGCCTGTCGCGGGACCATGTCGTGCTGCAGCCCGTCACGGGGCACGTCCAGGTCAAGGTGCGTTCTTTCGTCTCAGTGCAACCCTTTTTTCAGAAACTAACTCGTGTTTTCTTCTCCAACGCAGGGCTTGCATGTCGATAAACTGAAGAAATGGCTCGTTGATTCGTTTGGCGATCCGCACAAGGCCAAGGTGCCTGTTGATGCTATCGCTCCGTGAAGAAACCACTCTCCGACTTCCCGGCTCGGCATGTCCTTGGTCGTATGTGGAGCCATTATGGAGCCATGGTCTAGGACAGCCGTCGGGACTGGAAGGAAACCGCATATCTGTTCTATGAACAGTATAGACATGGGAGAACCACAAGCAGACAGTGGACTATAGCTCCAGGGACGGGGGAGGAGATGGAGGACAAATCTATGAACTCGTCCTCCCCGGAGTTGACGTGAAGCGGGCCCTCTGGCAATGTACTACTACTACCACCACTTCCCATGGCTGCTTCTCGCATATCATGTATTCCATCCATGTACTGATACATCTTCTGTACTTCTACACCTTCGAGTCAGCCTCATCAACGCCCGTAACCCAACTGGTCTGCCTCTATGTACTACTACTGTCATCTCATCAAAAGCACACTGGTAAGGCACGTAAAGGGAAAAGAAACCGAAATGGAGGAGGAAAAAAACAAGAGACAAAAAAACAAAGTCGTCCTCCAATGTATTAGTCACATTCGCGCATCATGCAACAAACGCCGCACCCATTGCAACTATCCCTACATATATATGAGGATAATATCTCTAATCAACAATGCAAGCTCGCCAATCTCCATCCATTCCCATTTTGCCCAAGAATAGAACCTTGTCCGCCCGCTTTAATGTATTGTAAACAGTGATACATTGAATTGACAAAAATATAATACGACACGACACGCACAAACCACCCACCCACCCACCGCTCCCTCATCATGTCTCGTAATGCAGTGACATGTACGCAGCAAGGTTCTTCACCACTCCCTCGCCCGCCCAATTCATCGACAGCAACCGCATCAGCTGCACGAGCGTGTTGATCGATGGCACCGAAGCCACAGGAACCCCCGACGTATCCTGCGGGTCGTGCGCCTTCTCCGTCAGCTTCTGCAGCGTGCCGACCCCCAACCGGATGATGTAGCTAAAGTCCGGATCCCGCCCGCCGTTGGCATCGCGCGTGAACGTCAGGAGTCGGACCAGGTGCAACAGCCCCGACGAGAACCCGTTGCTGCTGGCCAACCAGCCGCGAACCACCCCCGTCTCGGGACCGGGCGCCAGTGACGCCAGAATGTTGACCACCATCAACCCCTGCATCAGCATGGGCTTCCGCTCCATGATAATCGAGTGGAACGGCGCCGAGATCTCGGGCAGCAACTCCAGCGGGAGGACCGAAATACCCATGGCAAACGCCCTGGTGAGGAGATCGTACGGCGTCGTACCACCGGCATCCAGTGCGAAAATAGCCTTGAAATGCGACCTGTTAGGTTCATCACGAGCAAGCAGCTTGGCCATGGCGTCGACGGCGTGAAAGAGGTAAGGGTGCACAGAAGGCTCGTAGGGGGGGAAGAAGAGACGACCGTCCTTGGCCGTGGTCGGACCAGGCCCCGGAGCGAACGCCAGCAAGAAATGCAGCAAGCACAGCGCGTGTTCCCTGTTCGAGATGGTCGCAGCGCTGGCCACGTTCGAAACGAAGATGATGGCGTCCTTCATGACTTCGAGAGTGTCGGCGTGCGTGCGAAGGAGCATGTTGCGCGTACCGAGATATCGAATGAGGACGCAGACCAAATTCATCACCGATTCATCCGCCAAAACTTCATCGTTCTCCAACCTCCTCATCTGAGGACCATTGGGCCGCGCCATGTCCTCGTCCATGTCAAACGAGAGGTTTCGGAGGATCATGAAGATGCAGGACAAACGATCAACCGCCCGGTCCAGGTGATACTCGGCACTCCCAAATTCGGGTATGTGGCGGATGTTCATCTTCTCCGTCCAGCACGCCCTCGCCACCTCTTCATAAGAAGTGAGCTGGATATCGTCCGACACTTCTACCGTATCCTCGGCGAGCTGCTCGAGCTGCTCCTCCGCGCAGTCCACAAGCGCCTCGACGAGCTCTTCGCATGACTTCAGGTGGATCTGCATGTGTCTGTGGGGGCTCCTTGTCACCACCGCAAGCGTATCGAGCGCCATTCGAACTTCGGCGCGAAGACCAGATTCTAGGCTCCGCGTGAGCGCCTGCAGGTCGATCACCTCGAGCTCCGGCAGGTGGGGGATGTCTGGTCGTAGCATGTCAATTTGCATGCCAAGCTTGTCGTATTCCTTTAGTTCGGCCCCACCAACGTCCTTGGGCGGCCGAATGCTGGGTGGGTACACATCCGACTCTCTCGACAGTCGGATCAGGGGAGGAGTTTTGGGTCGGTTTACAGGAGGATCGGGTTCGGAAGCGGGAGTAGGAACGGGAACGGGGACAGGACCGGGACCGGGACCGGGACCGGGACCGGGACCGGGTGCTTGTGGCGCAGGTATGCTTGCTCGTTTGGCTTGTGCAGGTGATGCTGCCGGCAGGCCACTGGCTTGAGCGGGCGTAGGTCGCGCAGCTCTAGAGATGCTATTATTCCGACCCTGGTTCGGAATGGCGGTGGGTTCTCTGCTTTGTGGGTGACCTTGCGGAGTCATGGCACTGACCGGCTGTTGTCCACCATACTGCTGGACAGGAGTGGAACTCTGCCTGGGTGGTATATGCGGCTGCTGCTGACCAGCCTGTGCCATCTGTGCCTGTGCGTGTGCCTGCGCCTGAGCCTGAGCCTGAGCCTGGGCCTGGGCATGAGCCTGTGCCTGCACCTGCACCTGCGCCTGAGCCTGAGCCTGAGCCTGCGCCTGGGCTTGAGCTTGGGCCATTTGCCCTTGTGGCATCATCGGCTTCGTCGGCGTGGCCTGTGGTTGCGCGCCAGGCATGTTCTGGTTTTGCAGGCCGGCTTGTTGCTGCTGCATCATTCGCTGATGGCTCTGTTGCGACGCCATGAACTCCTCGAACCGAAACAGATTCCGCTCGTACAACTCCCTGACCAACCCAGGCGCCTGTGGTATTTGTGCCGGATGGAAGCCGAGAGCGTTGGCAACCTGAGGCCAGTAGTTTGCCGCCAAGATGGATTTGTATCCGCCTCTTGACTGTACCAGTTGGAAGAGGTGCGCCAAGTTTACGGGTCGGTTCGCAATAACGGCGTTCGTCTCCAGTGGGAGACCCTTGGATTGCATGAACCTAGCAAGAGTCTTCATGAACTGCTCCTGCTGCATCGTGCGCTGCTGAAGTCGCATAGCACCAGCACCGCCAGGCGGCATCTGGCCGTTGGGCATCTGCATGGGCTGTTTCGGCATCATGCCCCGGCCTTGTCCCATGTTCTGCGCCTGTAGCTGCCCTGCCATTTGCATGTTTTGCATATTGGGGTGCATGTTTTGCATGGTTCCTTGTGTCTGAAGCTGTTTTTGGAGACGCGCCTGGTAGGCAGCCATTTGTTGCTGGTCCATGGAACCGCGCGTAGCCTGCATGCCGGGCGGAAACATTTGGTTCGGCATCTGCTGCTGCATTTGTTGCTGCTGCAGCATGTGTTGTTGTATTTGCGGCGGCAATTGTTGCGGCATCTGTTGGGCCATGTGTTGTGCCATCTGCGCCGACATCTGACCTCCCATTTGGCCCCCCATCTGACCTCCCGTTTGTTGTTGCGGCATCATGCCAGGCATGGCGTTGGGGTTTGTCGCAGGGCGCGCGGGCGACGGGGCGGCAGTGAAGTTGGTATTGAAGGCTGGAGACATCGTGGGCATCGTCTGCGCGTAAGGATTCGGATTAGGCTGGGGCGTGCCATGATCAGAGGCGGCGGGAGATGCCTGTGCACCGAACTGCTGGGCACCGGGAGAAAAAGGGTGGGGCGAGGCGGTCGCGACGCGCTGCGGGACGCTACCGGGGCGCATGTTGGACCCCATGACGGGCGAGGGTGTCGCATTTGCGGAACCATTCGGCTGAAGGTGATTATACGGTGCAGGTTGTGTCTGGGCGGGATTCTGCTGAGGCATGCCACCGGCCTGATAGCCGGGAAACTGCTGAGGCGTCTCGGAACGCGACGTTGGTAGCATGCCCGGGTTGGGGCGTGGCGAGCCGGCGAGGCTGTCCTCGCGAGGACGTGGACGTTTGGAAGGAATGACCGAGTTTGTCTGATAAACGGAGTTTTGGAAAGATGGCGATGCGCTGGGCATCTGCATGCCATTCTGCATAGCGGCAGCCAGTTGGTGTTGCTGGGGATTTCCGGCAAACTGCTGCCCCGGGTTGAACTGGGCAGGGTTGCCCATGAATGATGATGGATCCATCATGGCACCCGGTGTAGCATTAGAATCGTTCATAAGGGGGAAGCCGTTGCCATTGGGATTGTTGTGATTGGGGGCAGTGGCCTCGTTGATCCAGGCACTCATGGCTGTTGCAGACCGAGACAACCCATCGGCATCTGAGGAGGTGAAGGTTCGACGTCAGTAACAAGCAAAGAGTTAAGCGACATTAATCGGATGAGGTAAGGCTGAGGAAATGGGGAGGCGATGATGGGCGGGTGTCGCGGGTGGTCCACGGCACGCGTCGCGACTCTTCGAGGGGTGTGGGTGTGGGAAGAGTGCTGTGGGTGCGTTTTGTCGGGGGGCAGATTGGCAGGCTTTTTTTTTTGTTTCAGTGGGGGTTAAGGAGGAAGAAGATCCGGCCCAAAATGGCTGACAAGGGGGCGCAGAGGGAAACTGACTCGTACCTTACTATCAAGAATAGTAATTGCTCTATGCGTAGGGAAATGGACGAGGATGAGAAAGGAGGCTAAGAGATAGGCGAGCCGACAGGAAGATGAAGAGAAGGTCCAAGCTCGCGTCCGACCACACGCGCTGTTGGGGAGGAAAGCAAAACCGTGCTGAAAGTAGGCGAGCAACGGAGGAAAAAAAAGTCTCCGTACTCCGTACCAAGTACAATGGTAAAGTATCCGTAGGGTAAGGTAAGGAAGGTACCTATGGGGTATGGGATAGGGATGTACCGTGCTAGCCGTGCTAAATTGAAGGACAGACAAATATTATGGGTGGTATGTGAGGGACAGTAGGTATCCGAAATAATTGACACGAATAAGAAGATGGAAAGATAGGAGTGAGATCGAGATAGAAGAGAGAGACCCGCAGCGCCAAAAGAATTTTCGTCCAAGGCGACGAGGACACTGTCGACGGCGACAGCAGGCAACGAGCGAAATGAAAAGGGAACAACGCGCACCGTGTGCGGTGCACGAATGGCTTCACAGGCTCAACCAGTCTTTGTCACCGATTCAATGATAGGGAGCAAAAGGTCCCAGACGGCAAAGCCTAAGAGCCTAATAAAGGACGTTCAAGCGCAAAGCGCAGTGGTGTCGGACCGGGGGAGGGGGAAGCAAAATGGGGGGGGTTCGGTCGGTCGGTCGGCTAGCTGGCTGGGTGCGATGAGACGAGAACGGGCGGCGAAAGAGAGCGAGCGTGTACAACAGCGAGACGAGGGCGAGTCAAACCCAAAAAAAGGACGGAAAGGGGCGGGCGGTTCTCTCCCTTGCGTTGCGCCTCAGGCCCTCAGACCACCTCCTCACTCGTCAGTCGTCAGCAGGACGGAGAGCACGACGACGACGTTGGGGCACGGACCAGGGCAAAGAAGCCTTGGGAAGAAAGGGATTGGTCGAAACAGGGGCTCGGAAGCTCGGCGGGTGTTACGAATATGGATTGAGACGGTAAGGTCGGAAATAAGAAAAGAAAAATGTGCGAAAAAAAAAAACCCCGTTTTCCGTGTGCAAGAGGGAAATGAAAGGTGTCCAAGCAAGGAAAATAGCAGGACGGGGCCTGGGGGGGCAGAGAAATCTGGCCCGGGCTGTGGGCAACCAATTTGGTTGGCTGGATCGGGGTGGGTCAAAAGTGCCATGGCTCTTGTACCGATGCGGACTAGTGTTGCGTTTGGCCTTGGATGGACTGAATGGAGTTCCACCAATAGGCTTGTGCATTAGTCGCATCATTAGGGGAAGGAGCCTGTCTGTTAGTTAAAGCAGTGACATGCGCTGCTTAGCGCTAACAGGAAATGTTGGTGCGCATATCGTGGCCCTCATCCGAGGGCTTCTTCCCACGTCCGGAATGAGGATTTGAGGACGGATGGTACACCTCGAGAAAAGAGACGGAATCATCCACTTATCCAGCAACAGGACATGGAACTCCGAAAGAATGAATACTTTCGTCCCCAGCGAACTGACCTCAGAATCAGCAATTTCGTGTATTCTTTTTGGTTTCTTCCCAGGGTTGAATCCTGAAGAGGAAATGGATTTGGCGGTAACCAGGCTGAGAGACGGAAGGCACGCCGAAAGCGCAAGTGAATACGGTTTCTCTGCCGTAACCGTACTTTCTTCCCTCAATCGTCGCTCGCTTCCGACAAGCAGCGCCCAGCAAATGGGGAGCTCGGCGACTGAGTTCATTGCATCGATCCTGGATGGGCGAAACCAGCTTGACCTCTGGCATTAGCGACTGCTCGAGCCCATGTCTCACGGCTGGTATGGAGTGACCCATGTCAGTCGTAGACCAGTGCCAGAGTGATCGGTCTGGAAGGTCGTGTAACAACACATCAGATTTGTTGAACTGGGGGGGTGTAGTCCTGGAATATGAGGAGCGGCAGCCTGCGAGACAACCCATCAACATGTCCGATGTTCCCGTCAGGGCAGGGCGATGTACAAAGTACATTGAATCGCCCCTCCTCAGCTCAAGTTCGGGAGGCTGGCTGGGCCATAGGAAAAGGCCATTTTCGTCGGCATCGAAGATTCGTAAGAGGCTTGCTCGTGTCGTTTGGCTTGCTGCAATCCAAACTCAAATCGATTCATTGTCTCATCTGCGAGACAACCATCGATGGTCCCCCGCCGCACAAGAGAGAGTCTGCGCTAGGCCGATGCCAAACCCATTGGGAGGTCCTTGTTCGGCGGGGTCGGCCAGTTCAACCACATTGGTCTGGGCATCGTCTGCTGCTTGGTGCTTGCTCTCGCTCATTTCCCGTTTTGCCCCCTCTCTCGTCTCTTGTCATCTCTTGCAATTTTGCGACCGCTCGCTTGTAATGCTCTGAATCTCGTCCTTGACTCGGGGCCAACAAATGGAGATTTTGCCCTCTCTCAATGTGTCGGGTATTTGAGATGAGAGGTTCCATTACCCCCGAGTTATTGGCCCACGGTCCAATTAGGCAGGTACTTCAGAATTCAGGGTCCTTCGGTACCAGAACCATATTGTAGTAGGAAAGGACAGCGAAAACGCAACAACGCGAGGTCCAAATCGGCCCAGAAAATAGCATGAAAAGCAGCGAGAATAAAAGGACAATGTGAGAAGACGGGAGAAAATGTTGGGAAAGAGAGAGGAAGAGAGGGATCGAAAGGAAGAGGGAGGGGGGGCGTGTTGGGCGGTTCTTATGAGAACCTGAACGTCAGGTGAGGAAAGTACCGGCCTCATAAGCCAGGTACGGACGGAGGGTACGGAAGGTACATTCCCAGTCCCTTCATCTCGTCTTTGCCGCGACCATCCGGATCGCCTGTAAATCCCCCAAACGCCATAAACATATACGAATATTGATTCCGCCCATTCCATCCATCGCCCGTCTCGTCTGTTTCCCATCTCTTTCTTGGCTATTCCAATAGTCTTTGGGGTCCGAAGCTTGCCTATCTTATCCTCTTCCTCTACCTTGGTTTTCCCTCCCCTTCCTCTTTTTTCCCCATTTTGGTTCTAAAAAAAGGAAGGACGGGGAAATAAACGCAGAGGTGAAGATCTGGCCTAAATACCACAACATTGGTCTGCTCTTGGCCTCTTCCCGAAGTCGACATGTCCGGCATGACCGTCCTACCTGGGCCTACGCTATTTACGAGTCTCTAATAATGCCCACAAATTCGTCGTGTGAGCCCCGCTTCGTCGACCGCCTCGTAGGTTGCCGTCGATTCGATGGCCACTCTCGTCAAGTTGGCCAATGTTCTTCGCTTCGTTCACTTCGTCACATACGAAGTAGGACACGGCCCAATGACCGGAATGTGTCATCCCCTCCTATTTATTTATTATCATCTGAATCCCAGTCAGGCCGCACTGCCTCCGTAACTCTCAACCCCGTCGCTCCTTGTTCCCCCCGTCTTGCATCTTTATAGTCCTTCCCATCCTGGCTTCGTGCGTTGGTGGAGAAATGGGAACCCCTACATATACCTACGTACGCCCGTTGTGTTATCTCGTACCCTGGCTTCGTACTACAGCCGTGTCTTCGTCTTCCTCCCTGCTATCTAGAATAGTCACAAACATTCTGTCTTCTTTCTCGGACCAGCCTGCCTATGGAGTACGGAAAACTTACCCCAGCTTGTCTTCGGCCAAATGACCCGTCCATGTGCCACCTCCTCCACTTGGCTCATCTAGTCGCAGCCCCGTCTGCATCACCCCTCTTACCCTCTGATGTACGTTGTACAAGCGGGCACGGCAAAGGATCATTCCGCTCGGCTAGCATTGATGTGGTGGGGAAGAGATGAAATCCAACAATGGAAATATATAGTTTACTACAGAAAACATATGACTGACTGGACTTGCGCAGAGTAGAGTGAAGTGAATGCACCCGTACGAGTTTTCGGCTCAAGAGATACTGATGGCGCAATTGATCTGCAAGGTTGACAGACGTAAGACTTCCATCGCGTCCTAGGAAATATGGCATGCAGCCACCAAAGTCTTGTCCGCCATCTATAAGATACCTATGTTGTACTAGGTGACCTCTGGTTTCTCCTCGGAGGGAATAGTTACGAAAACGTTCCAATTCCGAAAGACTATGAGGACACCTTCAATGGGAGTAAGAAGGATGAAGAAGAAGAAGCCCCGCAGGGATATGGTATAAAAGCCCGAAAACCAAGACGCAAAGAAGAACGGGAGGTTGAGACTAATTGTAGCTTCTTCCTAAAGTGTCAGGGTGTTCAGGGTAACACGAGTGTCTCGATTGCCAACTGTGGCTGGATGATAAGATCTTGTGGTGTTGGTTGAATGTTAGTGAGACTTGGATACGAGGAGCAAGATTATTTGATCCCATGACGTGGTGCCTATCAAGTACGGGGGAATATGTTGAGAGTATGCCCGTCAAATGCCTTCCAGCATACAATATTGGTGACGGGGCATTGGACTGTTCTGCCGTCATACAGTAGACAGGAGGTAGTCTCCGCGAGGTGACGAGAGATACGGGAAGTCGACCTCTGAATACGTACAGCAGCAAGCAAGCTGCACGGGACTACGCAACATCACTCGGCCTACAGTCTCCATACCACGAAGAAAGAAAAAAAAACCCCCCCCAGAGAGGCCAAAGCTGACAACCCAACTACGACTTTGCGCGTCCCTGACCGGAACCGTGACTGTATTTTCGCTATGCTTGTAATTTCCCTTTCGTATGCTCCAACACCACCCTGATACCCTCGTCGAGATCCGCCAGCGCGAGAACGGGATCTATCCATGCCACTGTATTCTGCCGCAACGCCGCCGGGTCCGCCGTCGACTCCAAGCCCTTCGACAACCGTGAAAGAGCCTCGCGTAACCCCCGGGGGAAGGCGGCCGAAAACGGGCTGACGCCAACAAGGGGCATCCGGATGTAACAGGACCACGTCGCCGGGGACGCCTCGTACTCCTGCACCATCGCGTCGAAGACATGCTGCAGCATCTTATTCTGGACAGACACGGCCGTGAAAGCGGCGAAGAGATCGAAGAACCGCTCGGCCACCCTGTCGCTGTAGAAAGGCTGTTTCCTCGCAACATCGAAAATGGCACGTGGTATGGCGCCGTCCATGGCCGGGTTGTTTTCGAGAGCGTCTTCCGTCTTCTTGTCGAATACCGGCGGCGCCGCCTCCTTCCCGACCGTGGATTCCGGGAGGATAAGCCCGTCCTCGTCCGCCTCGTCTTCGTCATAGTTGAACTGGATCTCGTCACTTTCATCCACCTGCTCGGCCGCCAACGCCGCGGGCTTCTGTCCATTCTGTCCATTCTGTCCTCCCTTCTTGCCGTCTTTCCTCTTCTTCCGCTCCAGCTTGTCGAGCCACTGCATCTCGCACCGCGCGTACTCGATCCACAAGACCTCGTCCGCCGTGCAGAACCGGCATCCGCGCATGAAGTACGCCCTCGCCGAGGTCATGTCGCCGTTGTCCGCCGCTTTCTGGCCGGCGAGGACCCAGAGGTCGGCGTCGCGGGGCATCAGCCGCAGCGCGCGGGTCATGGTTTTCCTCCAGCGCTTCGTGGCCTTGATCTTGGCCGTGTACTCGAGGTACTCGAGCCAGAGCTCCTTGCAGGCGGGCCGCTTGCCGACGGCTCGCTCGTAGATGGCCAGCACGCGCGCTTGGGTCGCGTGCTGGGAGGCCACATGCCGGATCTTGAGACGCTCGCAGCGCTTGGCCCGCAGGGCGTCGAGGTTGATCTCCCAAGCGGCGTAGGCGGAAAATTCCGATGGGTTGGCGCCAGGTGCTAGGACTCTGTGCTCGAAATCACTGCGCCGTTGGACTATGGAGCGGATTTCATCCTAAACGTATATGTCAGATTTCATTCTAGGCGCAAAGAAGCTCACAGGGTGAGTAAATAGAGTAACAACACCGGAGCGACTGACCTTTGAAAATATTTCTTTCTCTTCCCATTCTCGTAGTTGGGGGACAGAGCGTTCAAGATAGAACCGCGCCTTGTCTGCAACACCAGCCATGGTTCTGACCGAGCCCGAATTGACCTCGTCTTGCCAGCGTCCGTCGTTAGATTGGGAAACTTGAGGGCTACGAATCGAGTCAACCGGTACATAGAGATAAAAAAGTTGACGAGGCTGACATTTGATCGTAGAAAGTTCGGTGCACGGATGGAAAATTGAGTGGGGCCCTGCGCAGCCTCGTCCGGTCCTGGTCCCACTACCTACCACTAATCCATATTTGGATAAAGGGTTCATGACTCAGCAAGACATGCAAACATGTGGTAACAGTCAGGGATATCCCCTTCAATTGTTCCAGACACGCGCGATCTTGTCTTCAACCTTGGACCCTCCCAGGGCAACACCAAGCTTTCCTTTCGTTCTCCTGACGGCGTAGCTGCCAGCAGAACATCCCTTCTTGTCACTCTTTTCATTGGCATAGGCCATATTTTTATTTTTCTTTTCTTTTCCTTCTTTCCCTCGAATCAGTTTCTCCCTTCCTGGCATCACCGAGTCCAATCTCGGGTTGTCCAAAATGACGTCCAAATACAAGGACAAGGACGGCGACGTTGTCCTCACCTTCAATGCTCAATGGGTGGCTTGGGCCCACACCATCTCGGCATACAGTAAGTAAAGGACGCACTTCTGGCACTTGTCGTCCGCAGAAGAAATGTCGCCTAATTGATCTGCGCAACAGCGGCGTTCATCGGCGCCTTCGTCGTCGGCGTCGCCCTCCATTATCACAAGATTGTCCAAAATGAGTGGTTCGGATACCCCGAAGAATGGTTCCCCTCGGTATCGGCAACCATTGGCGACCGATACCCCGAGCGGTCTGTCTTTATGGTTTGGATCGCCATCACATCCGGTCCCCGGTTCGCCCTCGTCGGTCTATGGTACCTCCTCACCCGGAAACCCGGCCAGAGGCTGCCCGGGTTCGTGTTCGCCATGGGCATTCTCCGGACTCTGACGTGCGGCGGCTTCACGTACGTCACCTCCACCGACGACCATGACTGGCACGACATCTTCATGATCTGCTACATCATCGCCACGTTGCCCTGGACTCTGGGCTGCATTGCCCTGAGCCCTCCGAACCCCAGGGCCATCCGGTACCGCAAGATCATCGCGAGCTCCTTCTTCGGCACCCTCGTGCCCCTCATCTACTTCTTCATTCAGCATAAAGTGCATCGGGTACCCGGAGGTATGGCGCAGAAGATTCCTCCGAAACGCATTTTTCTTCTTCTCGGTACTGACTCGCAATCCAGCCTATACCATCTATGCTTTCTTCGAATGGGCGCTTATTCTCTTCGACGTTGCCTTTGACACGGTTGCAATTATTGACTTTGACACTTTTGAAGTGGTAATCAAGGATGTCAAGGGCTCGAGCAAGGGGTACGTTCAATGGCTTCCGAAATAGTCAGTGTACATATGTACAGCCTCGGGGCAATATATACTGTTTATGAGGGCTTTGGTTCTAAAATTTCGTTACAGTGAGAACCGATCGACTGTCCCTTCCGCCGTTATCGAAAAAGAGTACGTCTCCACCTCCTTTTTCCAGTCTGTTCTGATGTGTATGCCGTCGGGTTGCTAACCCTTCATCCAGGAAAGCAAAGGCGACCGGTGGCATCTTCGCCGTCCACTTCACCTGGAGCGAAGCCCTCGACACGGCTGCCGAGGTCTACCATGGCTTTATCTTCTGGTCTCTGCTCACGAGCCTCGGGGTTACCGTCTGGTATTTCCCTCTGTGGCACATGGGCATTTCCGGCTACGAGGCGTTGGTCATGTGCACGATTGCTCCCTCCTTGCTCGCCATCAAGCCTCTTCGCCGCCTAGTCGTGTCGAACCAGCGCCTGGTTCATCTGCTCTCGATGGTGGGCATGGTAGCGTACAAGATCGACAGCCCCGTCAAACGTCTCTTCGCGGTCTCTTTCGGGCTCTCCATGTCTTGCCTCGGCTGGGCCGCCACGCTCTTCGGAGAATCGGTTCACGAGGGCCGGCTCGAGTCGAAGGTCCTGGCGTGGGCGATCGGCCTCATCCTATCCTCCACTCTCAAGTTCGCTTGGTACACCAACAACCCCGTGTGGCCCATCATGCATGCCGCTAACGGCGGTTGGAATGGAATCGGCGGTATTCTGGCCGTCCTGGCCGTGTTCCGCTTCACGCGCAAGGGATCCCTGACGAGCGGAGAGGCCGGCGCGGACTCGCAACGCGGCGGCTCTTCGGTGCTGGCCGCTTGTGGCTTCGGCGGTCTGCTCTTCGGCCTGCACTCCCTCTTGTCGGACACGAGCACCATGATCCTCTGGGTCTGGGAGGGCTATCCGATTCGTGGGCCGACTGCGAACACGTTCGGCTGGATGACCGCTATCGCCATGACCGTGGGCGTCCTCGTCGGGCTCTACCGGCCTTCGCTCACGACGACTTGGACGGCGTATGGTATTGGGTGTGTTGGAGCGGCCGTCGTGACCTTCTACCACAACTGGTTCGGTTACTCCGGAGCGCTGGCCATCGCCGTCTACCTGATGGCGCTATCGGTGCCTTTCCTCTCCAACGCTTCGAAGAGGAACCCGGCGGTCGTGTTCGGCCTGGGCTTCTTCATCTACAACTTTATGGTTCTCTTCCACGTCTGGGTCGTCGCCTACGCTTTTGTTCCGGGCGGACCCCTCGTCCGGGAACACACCGACTGGGTGATGGCGACGATGATGCTGCTTATCGGATGTGGCGTCCTCGATCTGATCTCGACGACCAAGTCCCCCCGGCGCAAGACGCAGCGCCCGTCGGCTTCGACGTCGCAGCGGAGGAAATTCCACACGGTGGCCGTCGGACTCGTCAACGTGTTCTTCCTGGCAGCGGCATTCATGCGGTTCCCGGCGAATGACTACAAGCCCTACCACCCGGAGGACCGACTCATTACGGCGGGCATGTGGACCATTCATTTCTCGCTCGACAACGACATGTGGTCGTCCGAGTACCGTCTGCGGGATCTGATCAAGGAGATGGAGCTGGACGTGATCGGTCTGGTGGAGTCGGACAATCAGCGGATCATCATGGGCAACCGCGACTCGACGCAGTTCCTGGCGGAAGACCTGGGCATGTACGTCGACTACGGTCCGGGCCCCGACAAGCACACGTGGGGCTCGGCGCTGCTCTCCAAGTTCCCGATCCTCCGGTCGGAGCACCACCTGCTCCCGTCGCCGGTGGGCGAGCTGGCGCCGGCCATCTGGGCGACGTTGGACGTGTACGGGCGGGAGGTGGACGTGTTCGTGTTCCACTCGGGGCAGGAGGAGGACCCGGAGGACCGACGGCTGCAGGCCGAGTACATGTCGCGGCTGATGGGGTCGACGACCCGGCCGGCCATCCTGCTGAGCTACCTGGTGACGAAGCCGCTGCGGGGCAACTACAACACGTACGTGAGCGCCGAGTCGGGGATGCACGACATCGACCCGAGCGACTGGGACCGGTGGTGCGAGTACATCCTGTACAAGCGGCTCCAGCGGGTGGGCTACGCGCGGGTCAGCCGCAGCACCATCACGGACACGGAGCTCCAGGTGGGCAAGTTTGTGGTGCCGGAGACGGAGGAGAGGAGCGACGCCATCGAGGCGCTGGACGAGACGGCGCGCGACCGGCGGGTGGAAGAGGGGGAGGTGCCGGTCGGGTGGCGGTTCCCTGCGATGTTCCGTGGGCAGGGCGTTCGTGGACACCGGTACCATGTGTTCAACGAGCCCCGATACTACAACCACTAAAGCGGGAGCTTTACAATATTTTTCCGCTCTGTAGAGATAAATGGACAAGGAGAGTGAGGAGAGGAGCCTTTACTTTTTTACACGAATGGAACGGCATGGGATGGAAAAGGACCGGCCGAGTTGATAAACTTGGGCTTTGAGCTTGGGACGACTTTGTCGGTTCATGTATGTACTAGCACACGTAAATATAAATCAGGAGGGAATCTTATCAGCAATACCTAATTACGCCGAGGTTGAGGAAGACGATGAGGCATGGCTAAGGTTCTCAGGAGCATGAGACAAGACCGGGGGGGTTCTGGCAGGGATCCACAAAACTTCGGCTCCGGGCCGAAAGTTTCGCCCGGATGCGACGCGGAATGGGACAAGTGGAGATGGATTAATCCGCGACCCCACGGCGGAAAGAAAGATAAAAAAGGACAAAACAAAAGGCCAAGTGTTGCAGCCGACATTTGATCTCAGTCACACCGGTGCAACCCGAGGGAAAGCCGGGGAATACAAAGTAATTTGATCATGGGCACAAGTTACCCACCACGTTCTTATTGGCGAACCGCTCCCCAAGCGGATCTCGATCCAGGATGCGATGACGGGGTGCCCCAAGCCCTTGCGGGGGTCTCGCAAGTTGTGGACAATGCGGTTTGAAGCTCATGAATCGGAATGCTGTGAGTACCTGAAAGACAGGAGAAGGAATAGTAATCGGTGATTGGCGCCTCGTGACCTCTTCCCGTTCTCTCCGTCACTAGCCGCGAGATAACCTAATCCGGCAAGTGATAGCGTCATCAATTCTACACTAGTTAAGTTGCTGTGACGGAAGTCTTGACCCGCGGAAAGCCGAAGGTGCGATACGGACAGATGCGGCAGTTGAGAACTGCGAGGACATTTCTGTACAGCAGACACACACACAGAGAGACGTTTTACACACCAGCGGCCCTTGCGACATTGAATTAATTATGCTCGGGTCTTTTCTCGCCCTATGGATGATGGTCGGACAAGGTGAAGGAGGGGTGGGAGATGAGACAGACCTTGCCGTTGGTATTGGCGGCTTACAAAGGGCATGAAGTAGTGGTACTCGGGATAGCGGGATGATGTAGTGTGGTGCAGTGATGTCTTGGGAGGGCTGAGGTTTCGTGTCTTGGGGGTACAGAGGGGAAAGGTTTATTTACTTCGTGCAGATAAGCCGACTTGACCGACTTGATTCTTAATACCTCCTGCTCCCCAAGTGAATCCCTTCCTCGTATTTGTCCCCCCCCCCCTCCTTAGCTTACATTTCTTTCCCTCTTCCTCCCGTAACCGCCGTGGCTTATGATTCAGAAGTTTAATTCCAACGACATTGTTGGCTGAGTTCGTTCACAAATCCAATCTAGTCACTAAGGTTTAACGAAGTGATTATACCGACTCACCGAGTCTTCACGAGATTAAGTTTTGACGCGGGCTTGCTGAGCCGAAGGAGAGAGGGCGACGAAAAGCAACAAAAAAAGCCTGCCTGAGCCGTGAGAAGAGGTAGCCGACATGGAGATGCATACAAGTCATATTTGGATCTGGCTGGCAGTGGCCGGCGTGGCAGCAGTGTTCTATGTGAGCATTCTCGCATCTTCCCTGCTTCCGAGACATACAGCCCGGGAAGGTAAGATTACATACAATATGAATTGGCCATCTAACCGAATATCCAGACGACGACCCTCATCGTATACCGCGTCTTTTTCCACCCCCTAGCCAAATACCCCGGCCCCTTCCTAGCCAAGATCACCAACGCCTACCAGCTCTACCATGCGTGGAAAGGCGACCGTCACCTGGAGTTCTGGCGCCTGCACGAGCGGTACGGCCGGGTGGTGCGCTTCGGCCCCAACAGCGTCTCCTTCAACTCGGCCCAGGCGCTCAAGGACATCTACGGCTTCCGCACCAACGTCCGCAAGGCCGAGTTCTACGACGCCTTCGTCCACCCGGCCCCCAACACCCACAACGCCCGCGACAAGGACATCCACGCCCGCAAGCGCCGCGTCATCGCCCACGGCTTCTCCGACAGCGCCATCCGTGAGATGGAGCGTTACGTGCTCAACAACGTCCGTACCTTCACGGCCCAGATCGGGGAGGGTGCCGCCCCCGAGAGGAAGGGTTGGTCGGTGCCCAAGAACATGACGGATTGGTGCAACTACCTCGCCATGGACATCCTGGGTGATTTGTGTTTCGGCAAGGCGTTCCACATGCTGGAGGCCCCGGATAACCGCTTTGCTTTGGATCTCATTGCCGCCGCCACCAAACGACATCTGATTGTGAGTTTCCAGTGTCCTTGAACGGAAGAAAAATCAATAGAAAAAAAAAGAGAGCGGGGAAGAACGGAAACTGACTGCTTCTAGTGCGGCACCATGCCCATCGTCGACAAGCTCAAGCTCGACAAGCTCCTATTCCCCAACATCGCCGCCGGACGAGCCAGGTACATGGTATACAGCAAAGGCCAACTGACAGAGCGCACCAAGCTGGGCGAGGAAACAGACCGGCGCGACTTCTTCTACTACCTCCTCAAGGCGCGCGACCCGGAGACGGGCCAAGGCTTCACGACGCCCGAGCTCTGGGGCGAGTCGAACCTCTTCATCATCGCCGGCTCCGACACCACGTCGACGGCCATGGCCGCCACGCTCTTCTACCTGACGCGCCACCCGGAGGCCCTGGCCAAGGCCACGGCCGAGGTCCGCGCCAAGTTTAGCGACGCAGAGGAGATCCGCCAGGGCGCCGCCCTCAGCGGCTGCACCTACCTCCGCGCCTGCATCGACGAGGCCATGCGCATGTCCCCTTCCGTCGGCGGCCTGCTCCCGCGCGAGGTCCTCCCCGGCGGCGCCACCATCGATGGCGAATTCATCCCCGCCGGTGTGGTTGTTGGGGTTCCGCACTACACTATCCACCATAACCCTGCTTACTACCGCGCGCCGTTCCAGTACGAGCCCGAGCGGTGGATTGCGGGGGCGGGCGAGAAGAAGACCGGATTTGTGGCTACCGAGGACGACGTGGCGCATGGTCAGTCGGCTTTCTGCCCCTTCTCCATCGGTCCCCGCGGATGCATCGGTAAGGGCCTCGCTTACGTCGAGATGTCTATTACGATTGCCCGGACGCTGTATTTGTACGACCTCCGTCGCGCGGTTGGGATTCCCGATCCTGGCGAGGGCCGCGTTGATGCGGAATGGGGACGGCATCGCGTGGGGGAGTTCCAGTTGACGGATACCTTTACCAGCATGAAAGACGGTGCCATGGTGGAGTTTAGGAGGAGGGAGTAGGTTTCACACTGCTGCGCTGCGAGGGGTAATCGAGGTTAGAATGGCAGGAAAGTCTTGTGTTTGGTTCCTGGGCGCATCTTTAGCTGGTTCTTTCGGGTTACCCTTACGACTCCCAGTTGTTTGTATACAAATCATAAGGATAGTGAATAAAAAAGAAGAAAAGTAATCCAGCTGCTGTTCATACAAGTGTCTGAAAGACCCTGACTTGGACGATCATTTCAGAGCCTTCTTTGGCTTGTGCCTCGAGAAAGACAGCGGGGGAAAGTTCAGCGTTTTATCCGCCCACTTTGCTCGTTAGCGTACGTTGATATGTTGCGCTATGTGAGAAGTAAACAAATCGGGCCGGCTGGCTCAATCGGTAGAGCGTCTGACTACGAATCATGATTTCCAGCAAATCATGAATAGTCCATCAGGAGGCTGCAGGTTCGAGTCCTGCGTCGGTCATTCATTTTTTGCTGTTTTCATGCTTTCTTTTTTGCTTTTCTTATTTTACAATGGATTTTTTGGTTCCCAATGACTGGTTCAAAGCCACTGGATAATGTGCATGGCGTATGATTGTATGGAAATAGTAGAAGCGAGAATCCTTTCCCCTAACCGTAGTCTATAGAAACATTTAATCATCTTAGCGATCTTAATTAAGGGATAGAAGGCCAGAGGGTGCAATCCCGAAATGTACCTACTCAACACACACTGTATACACACTGTGTCCATCTCCTGTGTGGAGGTACTTGGTGGGCCGTTGTCCTTAGCGGCAAGGCTGAAATGACAGTCTTTGTGCATGCACTTGAAAGGCTGAATTTCTGCCCATGCTGAATCAAAGACGCGACTGACACCTCTTACCACTAACAAAGCCCTTGCCCACCCCTTGAACGTCTCACCTCGAATCACGGCCCAGCATTTTGCAGTGGCATAACAGAACTCTGCTTAAGACTACCGCACTTAACCGCTTCGGTCGACCCGGGTGACCCCTCGGGATGCAGACGACCTGCAGGTGACCTCGACTCTCACCCCTCCATACTACTCAGCACCGAATAATCTCCTGCCTGCCCGCCCACTTACCACCCTACCGGTAGGCTGCGGCCGTCGCCATGGTAGTCTGTAAGTTCTGGGAGGCAGGAAACTGCAGATATGGACGTACGTTGCTCCCACTGGGCTCGAAACAGCTCGCCCTTTGACTGACAATTCCGGAATGCTGTCAGAGAACTGCCGCTTCGAACATCCGAACCGTAACCAGCCGGGTAGCCGATTCGCGGCTTTTGGAGCCACCAGCGGAGGAGCCTTTGGGGGATCTAGCAGCAATGGTTTGTCTTTGACCTCGTGCACCGACTGCATACACCACGACCCGAATTCGTCCTTTCCTTCATTCTTGAACAAGTCAGAACCTGATGCGGCGCAGCTCCACCACAATACATCGTCTCGAAGGAGGGCATACAGAAAGACCTGACTAGCGAGTTGCCGCAATGGATACTGTCCTCGTACGCGGGTGGGCGCGACACCCCCGAGCAGCTCTTTGGCGGGGCCATACGCGAGCAGAGCTTCGAGGAAATGAGGCTTCATCATGTGCTCGCCGAAGCTGCCGGCAACCCCCAACAAGCGGTATGACATGAACGTTATTCTTTGGTGCCACCTGGGTTGGGACTTGGGTCGGAAAAGGAACGAGGGTTACTGACACGCCGGGGACAGATCGCTCAAGCTCAGCAGCTCTGGCAGCAAGCCCAGCAGCAGATCCAGACGACGCTCGGCAACCTTGATGGTGCCGTGCAGTTCATCCGTGCGGCCGAGAACAAGCACCCTAACCGAATCGACATTTGCAAGCAGAAATCTCCGTCGGGGGGGACAGCCGGAGTGTTTACTAAAGGCAAAACCCAGACGTCTGCCTTTGCGCAACCCAATCCCTTCCAGTCCGGCCCTGCCTCCGGTTCGCCCGCCGCCAATCCTTTCTCTACCAACGCGCAGTCTTCATCTTCTTTTGGCGCCGGCGCGGCCACGACCAGCCCCTTCGGCCAACCGTCCACCGCTCCCAGCGCGTTCGGTCAGCCGTCCACCACAGCGAGCGGGTTCGGCCAGCCGAGCGCCTTGGGTCAGAAACCCAATCCGTTCGGTGCGCCGGCCTTTGGACAGCCGTCTCAGCCCACTTCAGCGTTTGCGAAACCGGCCGAGACCTCGCCCTTTGCGACGGCACCACCACCATCATCATCATCATCCCAAAGCAAGCCCGCATTCGGCCAGCCCGGGTTCGGCCAACCGGCATTCGGTCAATCAGGGTTTGGCAAGCCCGCCCAGGGCACTTCTCCCTTTGGTCAAGCTCAGACTGGCCAGACAGCGGCGACCGGTGGCTCGGCGTTTGGACAGCCCTCGGCGCTAGGCTCGCAGCCCAAGGGCTTCGGCGCCCCTGCCTTCGGCCAGCCCGCGCAACCTGCGCAGCCAAGCGCGTTCGGCCAGGCCGGCGCGTTGGGCCAGAAACCGAATCCGTTCGCGGGCGGCTCGACCGGACCGAGCCCCTTTGCGGCCGCGGGCACTACCGCCGGCACCAGCACGACGAGCCCGTTCGGACAAGCCGCCCAGAAACCGTCTCCTTTCGGGGTGGCGCCCGCGCAACCATCCGCGGCGGCGGCGAACCCTTTTGCCGCGGCAACGCAACCCGCTCCCGGCACCGCCAATCCTTTCGCGTCGCAAACCAACACCGCGACTCAGCCTGTACAGCCCAACCCCTTCCAGCAGGCCACCCAAGCGCCTTCCCCCTTCGGCCAGCGGCCCGGTGGCGCAGCGGCGGGGGCGGCGGCACCGAATCCGTTTAGCAGCAGCAATGCTCCCGCAGCAGCAGCAGCAGCAGCAGCAGCAACAGCATCGTCTGGAGGAGGCGGCAGTAACAACCCCTACCCCCCCGGGAGCGCGAAGAAGCACCCGGACGTGTCCGCGTACGCTAGCAAGAACATGGCGGGCCAGCTGGCGCAGTGGAAGGGCAAGCCGGTGACGTACAGGGACGGGGTGCCGGGGCTCCGGGAGTTCGACGGGACGTGGAGGCGGATCTGGTTCCCCGACGGCCCGCCGGCGTATTACAGGGATACGGAGCTGCCGGTGGAGGCGTATGATGAGAAGTCCAGGGCGCAGTGGAGGGCGTTTGAGCAGACGGGCAGGTTTGAGGGGGGGATGCCGGAGCTGCCTCCTACGAGGGAGGTTTGCTTGTGGGACTTTTAGGATCTGTCGAAAAAAAGGGTCGATTGCATGCGGAGATGGGGAAGAGGCGAGAATACCAACCACATTTGGGAAAAGGTGGCGGGGAAAGCAGAGCTGAGTTGGTCGGATTTGTTCGGCCAATGTATAATAAATAATGTTTTGGTATGGTGAAGATGTACCATCCTTGGCAGTGGGTGTATTTGTCTTGACGTCCTCCCTCCAGCTTGGATGTTCTACTTGGCCCTCGTGACATTTCGCATTGTTCACTTTTGCAGTTTGACAGTACACCACGACGAAATCACGAAAGCGAAGAACGAGAAAAGAAGAATACGACGACAGCTCTCTAATTCGCATTGGCTTCGGCCAAACTATTTCAGTAGTCGAGCCTTCTTCCCAACAGAGGGCCAACCATATCCCGGGAGACCACAACTGGGACGAAAGAGTCCCTCCCCCTTCTCCCGCAGTATTCGTGACGGAAAAGAAAGGCAACAGTCCATCGTCCATCGTCCTCGTCCATCGCCCATGGCTATAATCCCCGCGAGAGGGGAGTCTAAAGAGAGACCACCGAGCTGGGCTTTTACGCCGCAATGGTAACCTCGACCTCGACGCCGGCCTCGATGTTAACGATGATCTGCTTGACGACTTCGGTGGGGGCGTTGAGGTCGATGAGGCGCTTGTGGATGCGCATCTCGAAGGTGTCCCAGGTCTTGGAACCCTCACCGCACTGTTTTGTCTTGTTAGTGGGGTGTTTGGCGGTGACGACAGGGGGTAACCTCAAGGAGGGGGAATGGGGACGGACGTACAGGAGTCTTGCGGGTGGTGATCTTCAGGGTCTTGGTGGGCAGACGGACCTGCAAGATGATTTTCGTTAGTAATTTAGTTATTGTGAGGAAGGAGGCAGGCAAGGAAAAGGAGAGGAAGAGGACGTACGGGACCCTTGACGCGGAGGTCCTTGGACTTGGCACGGTCGATGAGCTCGGTGCAGACCTTCTCGAGGGAGCCGACCTTGCGGGAGGAGAGCTATGTGCTGGGTTAGCTTCAATTCGTCTCGAGGATGGTTTCGGTTCGTGCTGGTCGCTGGTCGCTGGTCGAATTGACGATTGGAAGGCGAAGCGTAGAACGTCGTCTGGTGCGCTGGTCGGTGTCAACTCACAGTGATACGGATGCGGTGGCTCTTGGGAGCCTCGGCGAACTCCTTATCCTGCGACAGGGTCAGCTTTGCTTGGACAATGGGTGGGCTTCCTCCCGTCTGTCTGTCGTCGTCGTCGTCGTCGTCGCGTCTTGGGGGTCATTCACCTTCTGGTAAGACATGATGCCGGTTGAGAAGTGGTTGGCTTCTTTGGACGAAATGGATAGATTGGTTCAGAGATGCTGACCCTTCACGACTCGAACGGTGGACGTTACGGCAAAGTGATGAAAGGCCTGTTGAATCGTCGGTTGTTTGATCAAGTCGTAAAATCCAAGTGGCATTGTCGCGAACTTTTTTTGCCTTTCTTTTCGTGGGGTAGGGCTTTCGGTGTGTTTAGGTAAGCAGAAGCGCTGCTGTATGTGGTTAGTGCGGGGTGGGCACCTTTGCAGGCACACACCATGGCGTGAATTCTTGGCTCCCAAGGGAGTACCTACCTTATGTACCGTACCCTGTACCGTTACCTAAGGTAGGTAAGGTAATTATAGCGACATCTCACTCATGGTGATTCATCCGGCGAACAAAGACGAGACCTTCGAAGGAAAGAGAAACCGAGAAGAGATAAAACAAAAACCACTTCATCTCCCTGGGCATTATATCTACTCGGAATGTTCTTCGACTTGCTCCAGAGATTTTCCAACTTTGCGTGAGAAGTGGCGTGGCGCTGAAAAGGAGGGAAAAGCACGAACGAACAGACGACGGAAAGAAAAGCTTCCACTCTCACACCGTTTATATCATACGCAGTAAAACTCGATTTACGACAAATCATACGTGAAGCACAACAACTTACTCAAGACATCCATCATACCCTACCCATGGCCCCTTCTCTCTCTCTTTCTCAACTCCCTCCGTTCGCCCCCTTCCCGCCCTCGTCCGTTCGATCCCAGCTTGCCCAAAATGACTGGGACGACCTCCTCGACAGCTGCGTCACCCTATCACGAGCTTACCTCTCATTAACCGAAACCCAGGACCTTACAAGAGCCGAATCTGTCTCTGCCTTCCTGATTTCCCTGGTCTCCGAAATAGCCGAGAAGGGGCCCTCTCAAACTCTGGGCTTCTCACAAACGGCAAGGGCCTTGTTACACTGGACATCGCTGCTCCTGGGGAGATGTCTCGAATCACCCAAGACACCACCACCAGAGCTCACACGATGGCAAGTCCTCGCAGACGCAGCCAGGGTCTACACCAAAACCCGCCTCTTCGGCCCGCTTGCCGCCCTTTTCGCGACACACCCTTCATTACTCGAGAAGAGCCTCTCGCCACTGAAGAAGTCTCTGATCATGCAGCTTGACGCGGGAATCAAGACCGATTTGAGTGCATTGGAACGCACCCTTGCTCGCCTAAACTACCTCCTCCATGCATCACCAGATGCCGCAGCCTTCTTCCTTGCAGGTAGTGATTTTTTCGACGGTCTGATCACTTGTTACCGGATCACAAATCCGCCTCTCAGGAAGGTCCTCGTTGCTACGGCATACTTGTGTCTCGTCGGGCTCACCGAGGACGGCCCCCTGACGGACGGAGGCAAGGGAAAGGGAAAAGAGAAGAAGCCCCGATGGGGTATGCTCACAGACTCCCTTTTCGACCTGGCTACGGCTGCCGAGTCCCACCGCGTCGGACCTCTGAACCCCAACGACTCCCTCGTGCCGGACCTCGTGAGCGTCACGCCCTTGCTGGCCGTCGTCTCGAAGCGGGCCGAGGAGGCCGGCGCGATGACGCCCACGCTTAGAGCAAGAGTGGAGGCGCTTCAGAAATTCAAGAAGCTCGGCGTCGGTGTTTCGCGGCCAAGGGCAAAAAGGAGGGCCCGGCCGAGGGCTGTCGACAAGGGGAAGGGCCGCGACGACGGGGCCGAGATGCATGTGCATCGCATGAGCCAGATCGCGCTCGTTCAGGACCTTTTCCCCGACTTGGGATCGGCGTTTGTGGCGAAACTGCTGGATGCGTCTGAAGATGACCCGGAGGTGGTGATCGCGAAACTACTGGAAGATGCCCTGCCGCCTCATCTCGCCAATGCCGACCGCGGGGAGCAACTGTAAGTCCACTTCCTTCATTCACTCTGCACTCTGATGTCCGCACCTCGGGAGTACTCCCATGCTGACTTGTTTTTCCCTCCCACTCTAGTGCGCCTTCATCTGGACCCGGCACACAGCCATTCCACCACGACATGGCGCCACGGCCCACGCCGCCACCACGACCACGACCAACAGCCACCCACGCTCTACCGGCACGCCGCAACGTCTTCGACGACGACGACCTCGCCGAAGACATGTCCAACCTGCACTTCGGCAAGCGCAACCCCGAAAAGACAGCCGACGACGTGCTAGCCGACCGCTCCACCGCGCCGAAGACAGCCGCCATCCTCTCCGCCCTCGCGGCCTTCGACTCGGACGACGACGAGCGGGACGACACCTACGACGCCGACGACGTGGGCGGCGCCGTCGACACGGCGGCCGGCGAAGACGACGCCCTCGCGGCGGAGGAGGCCGAGGGCAGGGCGCACGAAGATGCGCTGTTCGGGGCGTGGCAGGCCGACGCGAAGCTGTTCGACCGGGACGCCGCCACGAGGAGGAGCGCCGGGAGGGCGAGGCTCAGGGAGGAGACGGGGATGACGGACGAGGCGATTGAAGGGTGGGCTGTCATGCTGGGGCGGAATCCGCGGTTGAGGCGGAAGTTGGAGAGTAGGTTTACCTTGTTCCGGGGGGAGCAGACGGAGTTGGCGAGCACGGCGTGGCGCGCGAGGGCGGAGGGCGAGGAGGAGGAGGAGGGCGAGGGCGAGGGCGGTGCCTCTTCTTCATCGATGCGAGGCGGACGGGGACCGGGACGTGGCAGGGGGAGAGGGAGGGGGAGGGGAGGTAGGGGTGGAGGGGACGTGGCTGGACCTGCGGGGGACAAGGACACGCAGTTGGCGCGGAGGAGGAAGGAGGCCAATAAGGGGTCGAGGGCGAATCATAACCAGCGGGATCAGAGGGCGAGGAAGATGGCGAGGGGTGGGTTTGTTGGTTAGTGGCGACGTGCTGTTCGTGACCCCCGGGGGTTGTTTGTTCATGGTATCATAGACATGGACAGTTGATGTCGGATGCAGAGGCATTAGAAGAGATGCAAGCGAATATCAAACCGACTCCTATGAGTAGGACTATTTATTGTCTGAATTTCGGACTGACAAGATTGAGAACCTCTGAAAAAGGGGACCCTGTCACGACTCACAACTTTGTACAACCTCAGCTACAGGGGTAATGGTCTTACACTGTTGGCGCCTACAAGGCCCCTCTTGATTCGACGCCTCAAACAAGCACTTTTCCATTCATCATGGCCGTCCAGGATATGCCAGGACGATGAGATGAGCATCCATCACCTCGAGGAAATAATCCGTGGATGGAGTAGTGAGCGTGTCTTAATTATTGTGCATCCGCTGGAACAGGGCACGTCTATCCATCTCAACCTGTCTCGAGCACTTGGAAGTTGGCTGGACCAACCAGGAATAGAGGGGGAACGGTCGAGGGGGGGGGGGATTGCCGTGAAGACGATTTTTGACTTCTTATAAGTGTAATGAATAGAAGTAATTGAATGAGGATTGAGGAGTTTGCAAGATTAAGCACCACTAAGGTACCTATGGCCGATGTACTTTGTACGTACCTGTATAAATGCTTGTATAATGCCTTAAGGTACCTAGGTACCTTACCTTACGTGAATTGACTGCACGGTATTACTCCTATTACTCTGTGTTGGGCTTGCGAGTAAATTGACGTCTCCTTGTATAAGGTATGGTATTGAATTATATACAGATACCCCGTACGCAAGTCAACGTCTCCCTTATCCGCAGTCTTATCCTCTCCCTCCTCTCCCTCCTCTTCCTCCTCACTTTCTCCCCACATTGAATAACCCCTCCATTAAACGTCCATTCGTTTTCAGGCTTATCCATAGGCCTCCCTGATAACTACGTAATCTCACGATTATCTCAGGCTCATCGTCCCATTCATGCCTAGTACGCGCCCAGCACTCACATTAATTGCTTCAGCCGCCGCCTTCTTCGCCGCCATCTACCTCCTCCACACATACACCAAGGCCTTTAGCGAGGGCCCTCGACTCCCGTCCTTCCGCCAGCCCAACACCTCGTCAACTCTCACAGACACAGACACAGACACCATGGGTGGCGGTCCAGGCCAAGGCTTCCGCTCGGTCGCCTACTTCGTCAACTGGGCCATCTACGCCCGAAAGCACCGCCCCCAAGACCTCCCCGTCGAACACCTCACCCACATCCTCTACGCCTTCGCCAACGTCCGCCCCGACTCGGGCGACGTCTACCTGACCGACACCTGGGCCGACACCGACAACCACTGGGAGGGCGACTCCTGGAACGACCCCGGCACCAACCTCTACGGCTGCCTCAAGCAGCTCAACCTCCTCAAGAAGCGCAACCGCAACCTCAAAGTGCTCCTCTCCGTCGGCGGCTGGACCTACTCCTCCAACTTTAAGGTCCCCGCCTCCACCCCGGCCGGCCGCGACGCCTTCGCCCGCTCCTGCGTCCAGCTCGTCAAGGATCTCGGCTTCGACGGCATTGACATTGACTGGGAGTACCCCCAAAATGACGCCGAAGCCGCCGACCTCGTCCTCCTCCTCTCCGCCGTCCGCTCCGCCCTGGACGCCTACGCCGCCGCCGCCGCCCTCCCGGCAGGGAACCAGGCCCAGGCCCAGGCCCAGACCCCCTACTTCGAGCTCACCGTCGCCAGCCCCGCCGGCCCGCAAAACTACAACCGCATGCGCCTCGCCGAGATGGACCGCCTCCTCGACTTCTGGAACCTCATGGCCTACGACTACGCCGGCTCCTGGGACGCCCTGGCCGGCCACCAGGCCAACGTGCGGCCCTGCGCCCGCAGCCCCGCCTCCACGCCCTTCAGCACCGTGCGCGCCCTGGACGACTACGTCGCCGCCGGCGTGCACCCGTCCAAGATCGTCCTCGGCATGCCGCTCTACGGCCGCGCCTTCGAGAACACCGACGGGCCCGGCACGTCGTACAGCGGCACGGGGGAAGGGTCGTGGGAGCGCGGCGTGTGGGATTACAAGGTGCTCCCGCGGGACGGCGCTGAGGAGGTCCATGACCATGACTTTGGCGCGAGTTGGTCGTATGATGCCGCTCGTCGGGTTATGGTCAGCTATGACACCGTGCCTATGGCGAGGGCCAAGGCTGCCCTCGCGGCGGAGAAGGGCCTCGGGGGTGCCATGTGGTGGGAGAGCAGCGCTGATAAGCCTGCTGGCCAGGGGAGCCTGATCGAGAATGTGGTTGACGTGTTGGGTGGTCCCAAGGCCCTGATGCGCCAACCCAATTGCATCGTGTACCCCGAGACGAAGTACGATAATCTCAGGAAAGGCTTTCCTGACGAATAGACCAGACTACCTATACATATACTTGTCTGGGGATATAGAGATATAGACACGTATAGTAGACGATTGGAAAATCTACACGGCGTAGAGAATTGCACATCACAAACAGCGAGATTCTTCATAGAGCATCCCGAATGTTCCAAGAGCATTGTCATTGCCAGCCTCTGATGGGGGGTGTTGTGATCGTTATGCTACATCAACGCCAGAAAATTTCCCGCGGCCATCCTTCCTTAGCCGACTGAATGCCATAAAAAAATAAACCCGGGTTCGCCCTTCCGACTCGGATATGAGAAAAAGCCCAATTGATCACTGCGAGGTCCACCCCGCCCCGTCAGAACGTGGTCGTCGTTCATCGCTCTAAAGAGGATGCAAAAAAAAGTCGATTTTTTTGCTTTTGGTTACTTCTGGTCGAAGACGTAGGTGAGGTGGCAGCGGCCGCAGTATTGCCTGTCCTGCATGGCAGCCATGAAGACACCAGCGCCGCACTATCCAATGTTAGTTTTTTTTTGCGTGGGAGAGAAGGGACCAGAAAGAAAGGGGAAAACAAACCTCCGGAGAGGGGCACTCGCGGCGCAGACGCTCAATCTTGCCGTCCGAGTCGACCTTGTAGTACTTGAGGACGGCCAACTTGACCTTCTTGCGCTTGTGCTTGATCTTCTTGGGGGTGGTGTAGACCTTCTTCTTGCGCTTCTTGGCGCCACCACGCAGGCGGAGCACGAGGTGGAGGGTCGACTCCTTCTGGATGTTGTAGTCGGAGAGCGTGCGGCCGTCCTCGAGCTGCTTGCCGGCGAAGATGAGACGCTGTTGGTCGGGCGGGATGCCCTCCTTGTCCTGGATCTTGGACTTGACGTTGTCGATGGTGTCGGAAGACTCCACCTCGAGGGTGATCGTCTTCCCCGTGAGGGTCTTCACGAAGATCTGCATGATTGCCTACTTGAGGAGGTCAGACGGGACGTAAACTCATGGATTGCGCGCGCCATTGCGAGCCGGGGGGGGGGGGGAAAGGATTCGGCAGGGACGAGGCCAGAGACTCATATCCTCCCAGCTGATCCGATTGGAATACTCGCTGGACAGGACGAACTGAACCTCGCCCCGCGCCTAACCACCACCATCACATCATGAACCATGGATTCCTCGTGGATGCGCCGACGCTGACGGTTCGCACCACACGAACCGCGAGAGAAGGCGAAATCAAGTAGAAAAAGGTATCATGACGGTGATAGAAACAAAATGCTCGCAATGGCGTAGAAATGCATCATCTTCAAGACATACCTCGACAATATAATTATTGCCTTCCTAAGCAATCTTTCAGATGGTGCGGACGGGATGGAGGAGAGAGGAAGAAAAAAGAGGTGTGGTTGGGGCTTTAGGGCGACAAAATGGTCGAGTGGGCGAATTGTCCCAGGGCAGAAGAGTGGGGCCCTCAAACGGTAGGTACCACTTTGTGGGGTGTTGGCTACGGGTAGGTACAGAAAATACAGAGAGGCACCATTTTCGGATTATACCACGTGACTAGGGTTTCTCGCGTTTTTTTCGTGTCCACCAGTCGTGCACGTCAAGCGAGTCAGCCCCAGCCCCAAGACGGTAGAGTAGACCCACAATTTCACGCGCACCGCACCAGCAACTTGAACCTCCAGCCGTTGTCTTGTATCCCACTTTCGCCTTTCGCCTCGTGCTTGGATCAACCCACCGAACTTTTCTTCCTATTCCAAGAAAAGCTCCCTCAGTACGTCGTCGACCCTGCTCGTCCTGTTCCTCTTTCCTGAACAACATCTAACTTGGCACGCAGACACCGCAATCATGGTCAAGAAGAGAAAGAATAAGTACGATTCCCGCTCTCCCAACGCCCAAGACAGCCTCGAAATCTGCGTCGACGGTCTTGACGAACACAACTGGCGAAAAACTGCGAGCGAATTCACACCACGAACCATGCTAACATGATTCCTCCTCCACAGCGGCCGCAACAAGAAGGGCCGCGGCCACGTCAAGCCCATCCGCTGCAGCAACTGCTCGCGCTGCACCCCCAAGGACAAGGCCATCAAGAGATTCACCATCCGCAACATGGTCGAGTCCGCCGCCATCCGTACGTCTTTCCCTTGCCATTCTCCGTCCGCACAACTCGTATAACTAACCGTCCCTCTTCCCTCTCATACAGGTGATATCTCCGACGCCTCCGTCTTCCAGGAGTATACAGTACCCAAGATGTACCTGAAGCTGCAGTACTGTGTCTCTTGCGCCATCCACGGCAAGATTGTCCGGTACGTTCGTCGGTGGGAGCGACGACTGCGCGCCTCTGCGGCGTGTATGCGCTTCGGATGAACCTTGGCGTACTTTTCGGAGCTCCCGCAACAAACAACCCCCTGCCCTTTCTCCCAGTTCTTGTAAGTGAGATCATGATACGCTGACACGTCAAACCTGTAGTGTCCGCTCCCGCGAGGGTCGCCGCAACCGCGCTCCTCCCCCTCGCGTCCGCTACAACAAAGACGGCAAGAAGATCACCCCCAACCAGGGTGCCAAGACCACCACCGCGTAAGATGGGTAAATCCATACCGGTGAATGTCCTGGAGGGAGGCCGGGGGAGGTACAATTGATGAATTGATGATGCGTGTATAAACGCAAGAGAGATGGGACACAAAATAAAGTCTTTCTTTTCCTTGGGCGCTCATGAATCATGGTTTATCATGGCATGGCAGGACGGGGTCCTTGGTGTTGACTAGGAAATGATCGAGCCATAGTCCTCGACACAAGGCAATCATCAACGGCATCTATTTCTCCCTGCTTGCTCGTTGAGTCGTGATTTGCTTTCCATGTGGCTTGTCGGGCTGGTGCGTGACAAGTGCTTCAGTATATTGCTTCAGTATGAGTTGTGTCGAAGGACCGATATCCCAACCATGAAAGGACCCTGAGGGAGGTAGAAAGACTGGGAGCGATTTCAAAAACGTCAGGTAGAACAACATCTGAATGTAAGTCCATCTTTACATCTACCCAAGCCGATCCTGCAGTCCCCTTCATACAATCATAACCACAATCCATGCATGTAAAACGGCAAAGCCACCAGAGCCATGCCCAAACCTACCCGATCCCCTGACGACCCTCCCTGCTTCCTTTCCATGCTCATCTCAATGTCAACGTCTGCGTCAGTCCGGTGGCAGGATGGTGCTGCTGCGCCTGCGTCTGCGCCTGTGCCTGCGGTCGCCGGCTGACGATATAGTCCTGGTTCTCGATCGTGACGCTCTTGGTCATATGGTTCACCTTGTAAACGCCCACCAGCCGGGCCGCGAGCTCGAACATGTTATTCCGAAGTGAAATGACGATGAACTGGGCGTTCTTGGTGCGCTCCTTGATGTAGTTGGCAACAATCGAGACCTGGAAACCAACGTCAGTTCAGGGGGAAAGGAGAAAAGGGGGTAGGTAGGAGGATGAAGAAAAAGAAGAAAAAAAAGGGGGAGGGGGGGGGGGGGCATCGTGGTGAACATACATTCCGGAAATCCAAAGCCGCATCAATCTCATCCATGACATACAACGGCGTAGGCTTATAATGATGCAGCGCAAAAACCAGCGCAAGGCTGCTCAGCGTCTTCTCCCCACCAGACAAGTTGCCGATATTCTTCCACGACTTCTTGGGCGGCATGACGCTGAACAGGATCCCCTCGCTAAACGGGTCCAGCGAGTCGACGAGCTCCAGCTCCGCGTTGCCGCCCATGGTGATCATCTGGTACATCTCCTTCAGCCGGAGCGAGATGACGCTGAACCCCTCCATGAACCCCTCGAGCCGCAGCCGCCGCAGCTCGTCGCACCGCCGCTTCGCCCCGTCCCGCTGCGCGATCGCCGTCGCCAGGTCCGACGACCGCGCCGCGTGCTCCTCCACCCGCCGCCGGTACTCCGCCAGCACCCCCAGGTCCACCCCGACGTTGGCCGTCTTCTCCTCCAGCGCCGCGATCTCGCCCTTGAGCCGGTCCTTGCTCATTCCCGCCAGCTCGTCCGGCGTGTAGGATGGGAGTTGTTGCGGTTGTCGCACGTGCGCCGTGGGGTCGGTGGCTTCGGGCCGGAGGGTTTCGTCGTCCTCGCCTTCCGACCCGGACGCTACATCATCGGCACCCTCCATCTCCGCATCTCCGTCTCCTTCAGCCGTAGCGGCAGCAGGAGGAGCACCGCCAGCAGCAGGAGACGGCGATGGATTCGCCTGCGATCCAGGGGCACCGATGAGGTCGTCAATATCCTGAATGCCAAGCTTGGACAGCTTATCATTCCAGTACCGAAGCCTCTTCTGGTTCTCGACGAGCTGCTTCTGGTTCTCCTCCAGCTTATTCCGCATCTCAATCTCCACCGCCCTTGTCTCGTTGAGCTCGGCCGTCTTCTCGTCCAGCTCGGCTTTCAGGGCCGCCAGTTCCTCCTGCTTGACGGCCAGCGCCTCCTCGGCCCCCTCGACGCGGCCTCGAAGCATCTCCGCCTTCTCGCCCTGGTTCTCAATCTCGTGATCCAGCGCCTCGAGCTCGCGGACGGCCGCCTCGACCTCCTTCGCGGCCTTGGCGTGGTCCTTCTCGAGCTTGATCCTCTGCTTCTCGGCCTTGGCCTTCCGGACCTCGGCGTTGGACGTCTCCTCGTTCTGCGAGTCGACCTCCTCCTTCAGCGCGTCGACGTTGGCCCGTTGGATCCGCAGCTTCTCGCCGCCCGCCTCCATGATCCTGTCCTGCAGCGCCCTGATCTCCTCCTCGACGCCCGCCGTCTCGTCGCGCAGCTTCCCAAGCTCCCGCTGGAGCTTGGCGACCTCCTTCTCGAGCGCCGCCATCCGGCTGTCGTCCGTCTGCGACGGCTGATGCTCCCTGCCCACCTCCTTGATGCGACGCTGCGCGTCGGCGAGGTTCCTGGCCGCGCTGTCCACCTCGAGACCGATCTTCTGCATCTTGGTGTCGAGCTGCGGGATCTCCTCCTGCAGGGACCGCAGCCGGGTTTCCAGGTCCCGCTGGCGGTCCTGCCACACCTGGAACTTCTGCTCCAGCACCTCGAGGTCGGCTTCCAGCTCGGCGACCTGCTCCTTGGTCCGCTCGGGGACCAGCTTGGACGACATCAGCCCCTTCTTGGCCGTGGTGCCGCCGCCGGACATGGTGCCGGACTTGTCGATCAGCTCGCCGTCCAGGGTCACCACGCGCCACCGCTTGGCGCCGTAGGCGATCCGGTTGGCCTGGGCGAGGTCCTGCGCGACCAGGGTGTCCTGCAGGGCGTGGTAGAAGGCCGGGCGGAAGCGGTCGTCCTTGGCCCGCACGAGGTCGAAGAGCCGGGGGGCGTTCTCGGGCGTCTGGATCGGCTGCAGGTCGCGGGCCCTCAGCTTGTCCAGGCAGACGAAGTTGCCGCGTCCCAGGTTGGTCTTCCGGAGGTACTCGATGCACTGCTGGCCGGCCTCGACGGTGTCGGTGACGAAGTTCTCGAGGGAGGGGCAGGCGGTGGAGATGGCGACGTCGTACTTCTCGTCGATGACGCCCAGGTTGCCCAGGCGGCCGTGGAAGCCGTCGATGCGGCCGGACTCTTCCATGCGCAGCAGCGCCGTGAGGACCTTGTTCTGGGTCTGGGTCTGCGCGAGACTCGAGCGGGCCTCGTCGGCCCTCTGTCGGGCGTTGGACACCTTGGCGCGGACCCTGGGCTCGTCTTGGGCGAGTTCCTGCAGCTTCGCTTCGATCTTCCTCGCCTCCTTCTCGAGCCGGGCCTTCTCGGCCGCACAGGCCTCGAGCTCCTCGATCTTGGCGGCCCGCCCTTCCTCGATGGACGCGATCTTGGCTTCCAGTTCGGCCACGGCCACTTCGCCCGCGTTGGCCTTGTCTTGGAGGATGGCCATTTCGCTCTCGGCCACGGCGATGGCCGACTGTTTCTGGTTGATCTTCTCCATCCAGGGCTCGAGGGACTTTTGCTTGACGGCGATCTGGTCGGAGAACTTTTGCGTCTTGCCCTTGAGGCTCTCGCGGATGGTGGCCAGTTCCTCCTCTTCCTCCTGGATTCTGATCTCGAGCGAGGCGATTTCGAGGGCGCGCGACTCGATCTCCCTGCTGCATTCCACGACGGTCTCGTCTGCCTCGGCGGCCGACTTTTCGCAGTTGGCGATGGTCTTCTCCAGCTTCCTCTGCTTGTCGGTCAAGAACTTGCGCTTCTCGTCAAACTTGACGCGTTCCTGCTCGAACTTGGCGACCTCCTTGGTCAGGCTCTTGACTTCCTTTTCCTGGGCTTCGAATTCCTTGCCGCCTCGGGCATAGTTCTTCTGGAGCTCCTTGATGATCTTCTGGCTTCCCTCGTGCTTCTCCAGCTCGGCATCGAGCTGCGCTTGCATCTGGTTGATGGCCTCCTCGGTGACCGCCACGTTGTCGTTGCACTCGCTGATGTAGAGCTGGTAGAGGGCGGACTTTTTCATGGTGAGCTCGTTCTCGTCGCGGATGTAGGCCAGGGCTTTTTCTTTCTTGCCCTCGAGGCTGTTCTTCTCCTTCTCGACGTGCTGGACCCGGCCGCTCTTCTCCATGCAAATGTCGTTCAGGGTCTCGACTTCGGCGGCCGCCTCCTCGATGGGCGTCTTGTACTTGGACGTGCCGATGATGTCTTCGAGGTATTCGAGGAGACCGTCGTCGTGTTCGTTCGCGGCCTTGGGCTTCATCTGCGCGATGGACTCCACCTCACCCTGCAGGATGAGGAACCGTTTGTGATCGAGGTCGATGCCGCGGTCGCGCAGTAGCGTGGTGACGGTGGTGAAGTTGGAGAGCTTGCCATTGATGAAGTACTGGCTCGAATTGTTCCTGAAGGCCTTGCGCGATACGATGAGCTGCGAGTCGGGGATATCGACGGGACCGGCGCCGTTGGTCTGGTCAATGACCTCTTTGAAGTGCACGGCTACTTCGCAGTAATCGAGGCTTGGGTATTGAGCCGAGTTGTGGATCAAAGCGGAGAGCTTGCCCTGGCGCATCTTGCTCGCGCGGAAACCGAAGACGAAGAGCAGAGAGTCGATGACGTTGGACTTGCCCGAACCGTTTGGGCCGACGACGGAGGAGAAGGAGGCGTGGAACGGGCCAACCTCCTGGCGGCCGGCATAGCTCTTGAAGTTTGTGAGTACAAGATGAGTAATGACGAGGCGAGGCTTGGGTGCGGTGTTCTCCATGACGGGTACGGTCACGTTGCGCGATTTGAGCATGATGTCCATGGGCTTCTCCAAGATGGTGTCCATGGGGCGGATCGGCTTGACTGTGGCCTGGGTCTCATCGGCGGCCATCGACGTCTGGTCGTTGACGCTGGTGTTGGTAATATCGGCGAGGGGAATTTGCGATGTTTCGGGCGTAGTTGGCGGCTTTGGGGTCATAAGCGACGGATCCTCCAGGCCTGGTGTCTCCGACTTGACCGCCCTTTGGGCCACACTTTTGCGCTTCCTCGGGGCAGGGGCGGGCGTATCGACCAGTTCGTCGACGTCCATCATGGTTTCCGTCTGATGGGCTTCTAGAATCTGGCTCGGATCTATGGAAGCGGCGGGTATGCTCTTCTTCGGTCTGCCCCGCGGCCGTGGTGCTGGCGCTGGTGCTGGTGCTGGTGCTGAACTAGAAGAAGCAACAGACGTCGTGCTCAGTCTTGAACGTGTTTGTCGGCGAATGGTGCGGGCAGGTGCCGGGGTGTAGTCTTCTTCGTCATCTTCCGCCATCTTAGCATTCGCGAGTGTGTCCTCATCGGAAGACTCGACGATGGCTTGTCGTCTTGTGCGACGCGTTCTGCCTGCCGCTGCTGACATGGCTGGCTTTTGCGGTTGAATCGGCCGTCCGTTGCACCAGTAAAGGAATCGATGTGGTGGGAATGATGAAGAAGAAAAACAAAACAAGTAAAGAAAACCGATAAGTCTGCAAGCTGTCGCCGTAACAGAAATCAGTAATCAGCAAGCGGTGTGTGTGGTGTTGAAGTGCGATCGCGTTCAGTCAAAGTTCCCCCACCTTTCCACTTTCTCGGCGTTTGTTTGATTTCATCCCGATTGGGGATAGGGCGTAAACAAACTACGCCACAGTGACCACCGCCACCAACGTCCAGCCACACCTCCAGCCACACTGTTGAACCCCACCGACATAGAGTGACAAGAAGTGGCCCAAGCTCCACCCACCTACCTTACCTAATGTACCTCTGTAATAGTTCTGAGAATCTTGCAGAATAAATAATAAAAACAACCAACCGATCAGAATCGCAACCAACGAAACCACCACGTTATTACTCGTCAACCGGTCTGCACGGAGCATCCGAGCTCTAACGAGTCGATACTTCTGTTCCGAACACACAAACAACGTAGCAGACATGTTTGACTACACCCGGTTCGACCATGTCTTCAGTCCGTCGGCACAGTTCCCGTACGATCGAAAGACGATCCAGGACATTGAAACCTACCGCAAGAGCTTCCATGGGACACTATTTATCGACCGCGTTCTGAAGGCACTTGGTCTTACTAAAGGTTAGCAAAGGCAGATCAAGTTTCGTAGGCCGCCGCGGCACCGGGCAACTAAAGCTAATCATGGATCATTGCCCTATTCTCCCCTGCACAGCCAAAACGTACCCCCCCAAGTCCGACGCTGCGTTGAGAACGCTGCACGAGAACCTGTGCGAAGCCGACATCTCCGTTCACCACCGCCTCTCCATCTTCTACTACTTCCTGTTGGACTTTGACAGCGGCGACAGCCGAGCGCAGGTCTCCAACCGGTTCGCCGACGTGTCGGGCGTTCCCAAGACGTATCAGATCTTCATGAAGGGGTTGTGGCTCCTGGATCACCAACAGTTTGACGTGAGCATCCACCGATCATCCCCCCCCTTTGCCCTCTCATCCTGAATAGCTATTAAGCTTGGAAGGGAGGGACATGGCTAACTTGTTAACTATGTACCAGCGGGCCTTGGAACACGTCACCCACCCATCCCTTACCCCCGACTTCTCGGACGAGATCCTCATCACCTTCGTCCGACACTCCCCCGCCAACGACTACACCCTCCCCCTAGCCTACTATCACACGGTCCAGCCGATCCTGAAAAGCCAAGAAGCGTTAGAACTCCTCTTCAACGCCATGGCCCGGACGAGCGTGACCGAAGCGCTCTACTTCTCCCGAAAACACCCGGAAGCCGTCCGGGAACAGCTCTTCCGGAGACTGGTATCGAGCGTACTCGATGCGCCCGCCGGCGAGGAGACGGCCAACCGCGCACTCGAGCTCGTGGGGCTCTCGCTGGACCCGTCCGAGGAGTCGTGGCTGGAGGAATACCTTTCTCAGGGAGAGGGTAGGAGACTGAAGAATGCCAAGGACACGCTCCTCATGCGCAAGCTGGCTACTGGGCGGTACGAGGAGGCCGTCGAGGAGAGGGGGGTGAGCAGCAAGTGGGGTGTGGTGTTGGAGGGGATCAAGACTGGCTTGGGCGGGCGAACCGAGTGATGCGGTGTGTGTCCCTTGTCCTTACTGTGTGCCCTCGACTTGACCGAGGCCAATCCGTCCATGTATTACGATCACCTTTTTCTTTCTTTTCTTTTCTTTCTTCTTGTTTTTCTTTTTTTTTTCTTTTCTTGACCAGCATAGCATTGGCGTTTTTGGGTGATATCCCTGGAAGTTTGTCATATTCTGGGACAGGCATTTCTCCGTTGGAACGAACGTGATCTTTCAATGCAGCGACGACAAGTGGCATCGAAACTTTTGGGGGCTCGTCAAAGTATTTAAGGACTACACCTGGCACCAGCTGGCGTCCTATTATGGAGCCCGGAGCCCGGTCCCGGACTTGACCTCCTTGATGACTCAGAATTTTCTCACCACCAGTCTCTCACTCACTTCATGACTTGATGAGACAGGACAGTTGTAAGCTTGTGAATGCCCCTGAGCCTTCACGTCTTTCCTGTCATTTTCTATTCTCTAAATGTCTAGCTCCACAAAATCCGTCAAGTTCGTCGCATCGGGACCGTCGGGGCTGCCGGTCAAGCGAAAACAAGTGCAACAAGCATGTGAAGCCTGTCGTAAGCGTAAGAAACGATGCATCCACACCGACGGACAGCAACAGCAACAGCAACAGCAACAGCAACAGTCCCTGGACGAAGATGGCGATGACCTGAAGAGCCCTTCATCGAATCTATCCTCTCGGGCCCGCGACGGCCGCCCCCCGCGTCGCAACCTCCCGGACAGGTCGCCTGTCAGACAGCATGGGATGCCCACCGCTTACCCATCTGGGCGCTTTGTGTGCGATACGAATCCCGAGGGAATGTTTACCGAGGCCGTTGGAAACAGTTCTGCTGTTGCTGCTGATGCTGCTGATGCTGCTGCCACTACAGCTACTGCTGCCACTACTACGTCCCCCGCTACGGCTGCAAACCCCCAGGCGAATCCCGGCAGATTCGTCGGCGACACCAACCCAGGAGGCATGTTCACCGAAGCCATGAGCCCGCCTCAAAAGAATGGATGGCGCAAACCCAAAGCCAAACCCAGACCCAAAGCCAAAGCCAAAGCCACTCCCACTCCCACTCCCACTTACCAGGAAAGGAGGTTCGTCTGCGACACCAACCCCGAGGGCATGTTCGCCGAGGCCACGGGCCCGCCCCAGGACCCGGCCGCTTCTTCCCGCAACGACGAAGTCGGCGTGTGGGTGCCTTCACGGCCCCACAGAGGACCCTCCCCCCCCTCCCCCTCTTCCTCCTCCTCCTCCTCCTCCTTCTCATCCTCTGGCTCCAAGACCCAAGCTCCCAACGCCCCGGCGCCCCGACCGTCGATCCCTTTCGACCCCATTCTCCTGCCCTACGTGCGGGAACACTGTCTCCCCTGCGTCCCGCCCGACAAGGACTTCCGGCAGCTCAAAAAAGTGTACAGCCGTAAGATCCACCCCATCTACGCCCTCGTCCCGGACTCGGTCCTCGGCGAAGACGACAGCGAAAACTCCCCCGCCCACACCGTCCTGCGGCAGGTCATCTCCCTCGCGGCGTCGACGGACCCGTCCATGGCGAACCACCTGCGCCTGAAGAACAAAGGTCCCGCCAAGCTGCCCCTGGCCGACTTCACCAACGCGCTCTCCGGCGCCATCCGGACCACGCTGGCCACCAGCCTGATCCCGGACAGGACCGTGCACATCCGGGTGCTGTGCATGCTTTCGCTGTACTTCCAGCCGTCGAGCGCCGACGAGAGCGAGGTGCCATCCCAGTTCTTCGCCGAGGCCGTCCACCACTGCCAGACGTTGGGGCTCCACCTGCTCCGCACCGGCGACCCGGCCCTCGAGACGCTGTTCTGTGCCGTCTGGGCCCTCGACAAGATCAACGCCGCCGCCAACGGCCGGCCTCGCCTGCTGTACGAGTGGGACTTTGCCGCCAGCGTCGACGAGTGCATCGGCCGCCAGGAACCCTGTTTCCGGCTGTTCCTGATGGTCTCGCGCTGGCTAGACCGGACCATCGACCTCTACCGACCGGCCGTCAGCGCGGACGCCCTGGGCGAGAACAAGCCGTTCGTCGAGCTCCCGGTCCTCGAGCCCCTGATCGTCGAAGCCAACGCGCTGGAGGTGCCGACCTTCCTCGTCGCCACCATCGAGGTGTTCTACCACGCCGTCATCATCCTCTCCTGCCGTCTCCCGCGGCCGGGGGCCGGGTCGAAATACGCCTCCAACATCCCGCCGCCCATGGCCAACGCGCGGCGGTCGCTCGCCTCGGAACGCATCGCCAGCAACGTGAAGAGGGAGAAACTCAGCCCGGTCCCCTTCGTGCCGTATGCCGTCTCGCTCTCGCTGAGCGTCGAGTACAGGAAGATGCGCCACAGCGCGCTGCCCATGTTCCGGTCCCGCGCGGTCGAGGCGTTCAAGGCCAACTGCGAGCTGCTGAAGCGGTACAAGGGCGTCTTCTGGAACGCGCGCGTCACCTATGGGCTGGGGGAGAGGTTGTTGAAGGAGATGGAGCGCGCTGCTACGTCGTTGGCGCAGGAGGCCGTGCCGTCTCGCCAGCAAGAGCAGCAGCAACAGGAACAGCAACAGGAACAGCAGCAACAGCAATATCAGCAGCAACAGCAACAACGGCAACAGGAACAGCAGCAACAGCAACAGCAGCAGCAGCAACAGCAACAGCAGCAGCAGCAGCAGCAGCAACAGCAAGAACAACAGCAAGAACAACGACAAGAACGACAAGAAGCCGTGCCGCCGCCGGCGTCGGATTTATCGAGCCAGCCGACGCCGGAAATCCATCACCACCATTACGGACACCTGCAGGCGCAGGATGCGGCGACGCAACAGCAGCAGCAGCAGCAGCAGCAAGGTTACGATGTGGCGGTGAACGGGCTGCCGAATCTCGATGCGATGAATTTCAACTTGGATGTGTTTGGCCATTTCGATCCCAGCTTTGACTTGACCATGGCTGATAATGCGCTCGAGGGCAACTTGGACATTGGGTTGCCGTTGAACTGGGGGGATTGGGAGCAGACGGGAGCGGCCACGGGTTGAACTGCCTTGGAGTAGGTGCTGCTCTCCGAGAGACGAGACGACCTCGGCTAGGCTCTAGCCACCGACAGACCCCATACGCCTGGCCCTGTTGATACTCCCGTGCCGTACGGCCCGTACCGTGCCATAGAGCTGTTCACGCATGGGCTGGCAGAGGCACATATATGTCGGGATGAGTGCGAGTACGAGTTGTCAACGCCACTTATCTCCCGTCGCTAACCTTTCACCGATCACAAGCATTAGACGCCATGGCATTGTGGGTTAGTCGGTTAGTCGACTGTCGGAACTGTACCCATATGGCTGGAATCGTGGCGTGTGCTTGGTTGGTTGGGTAGAAGGGATGTTCAACCTGCGGGTATTGGAAACCGATGTACGCTACGGGACAAGCAAACAACGGAAGAGCTTACCTGCCAAAGCGGGAGCTCTGTGATGGAGGAAGCCACCTACCTACCATGGCTATAGGGTATTCACTGCAGGATCAGGTGTGGCAGTCACCTTGATGAATGATGAATGATGACCATGGCATCCTTGATAGGAAAAGCCAGCAACAACACACTTCAATCCCACTGGCCGTGCTGATTTGGCCCAACGCTGCGAGTGTGGTGCCTCCGGAGTCTTAAATACGATAGAGGTACCACGTTCGAAATGTAGAGGGGAAATGCCCTCTCTGTTCTGCACAGTGTAAGGGGTTTTTGGTAGACCTCAGTCGGCTGGGAGTTGGAACTGGGGTCCACTTTTTTTGTCTTTTTTTTTGCTTTTTTCTTCTATTCTTTTTCAATATGATTTTTCGTTTCTACTTTGATTATCCTTAGTTGTAATTTGTTGTTTTGTTTCTTTGCCTTGTCTCCCCCGGTGTCCTCCTGAGACTTGGTGATATCGTCCCTCTATGCGGGCCACACCGAACAGACCGAGGTGAGGGCTTACATATTACATAATCAGTCCGCCATCTGACCCCACATTCCATCCTTATCCATCTATCTTATCTAACGCCTTATCTCCGACGCCTCGAAGCTTCACGAACTCGACTCGATTATCCGCACTTCTTACTTCGTACAATCTCCGCCACCTCGGACTGTTCGATCCCTCCAAGTCATGGACATCCCACAACAGTTTCAAATGAACTATTCATAACACCCAAGAGAAATGGCGCCTTGGAATCTATTCATGCGACTTCTCCTCACCTTTGAGGTACGCCACGTCTTCCTTACCACCAGCCCCAAGTTCATCTCCAGTCGTGACTCGTGACTCCTCTACTGACAACAGGGAACAGGACAAGATCATCGCGACTGTTCGTGACCGCTATCAACGCCCCCCCGCGACGAAGACAATAACGAAGCAGCTAATCTCTTGGTCGTCTCTAGATCCTCCGAAACCCCGGCTTTCACCGCGGCGTAGGCCGCATCCACCGCGTGATCCACGAGCGCAAATACGGCCGGAACCCCCACGAACCCCTGCGGCCGGGCGAAGCGACTGGTGCGTCTATCCTAGGTCACATGGCAGAGGGACAGGTCTGGGTACTAACGAGGGGGGAAATGTAAACAGAGGAGCCGGGACAACGGAGCAAGTTTCGAGAACACTTCATCGAAGAGTTGAGGAACCAGTGGAACGGGACACGGACGGGGCCGCCTCGGAACCAGCGCTCGTGGTGGCAATTGAAAAGATGACGGGGCGGAGAAATACGCGTTGATCATGTCGAATGACGACACGTCGTTTTCCCGAGACGGCAGGCCGTACTCGTGGCCCTTTTGAGTTTTTGACACTCCGAGATAGGAAGGTGCAGCGTCTTCCAGGAGGGTAATGGGGCTGGACTGACACGGTGATGCCCACGAGGAATAAGAAGAGCGCCAGAGCCATCCCGTTGGGAAGCCAATGATCAACAACTGCTGCATGTTGTTATTACCCCCGGACGGTCAAACTTCCGGGCGCTTTTCCGTGGATGGTCATGTATGACGAAAGCAGGTGCAAGTCAGCCACCACCTTGAAGAGAGCGGACCTGTCAGACCACATTGCAGGCGTTAGGGAAGGACAAGGGCATTGCCGATTCTCCATTCACCAGTTTTACCGAAAATTTACAAAGGCGGCCTGTTCGCCCGATTGCATCGCAACTTTGGTTCACTTCTTAACCCCACAACCTGCCTAGGAACTCGGCGGGGAGTCGGCATCGCTTTATCTGGCAGGGCATGAAGGAAACAACACTCAGGGGCCGGACCTGTTGAGTCTCGGCCTCATGGTCAGGACCGGCAACCTGGTTCTCAGTAACACGAGGGCAGCATGACAGGTCCCACCATGACGACTGACGGCGGCCAGACAGTCCACATCTGGAAAAAGATCCTCGGAGCACAACGAGCCGTCAATCAACCAGTCCCCGTCCGTCGGTATTCGTACGTACTTCGCCGACGATCTGAATAGGAACCGGAGGGCGAGATGAGCGATGTGTGCTGCTCTGGACCAGGTAAATCATGGAGGGGGACCTTGGCATAGGAAAGGATCGGAGATGCAGGTCGGTATTTTGGCGGAGTTGTCGCAAGTTCATTGGCCAGCTGCACGAACGCCTGCGTCTTGTCCCTCTCGTCCTCCGTCCCGGGGAAGGGGGGGTTGTTGGTGTTGTCGGTCAGTCAAATCATCGCCATCGGAATTCGCCATGAAAATTGCGCCAATATGGCAGTATTCGCACCAGACCTACACGACATGACCAATGATCGAGCTTACTCGTGCTGTATGGTTCGACTGACAATGTTCCTGACCCGGCCAAGCCGCTTTTCGGACCCGGCCTTTGCCCCCTTTAGGACCCCTCGGAAGGAGACCTTGATTAGTGCAACCCTCCGCACTGCAGTGTGCACATGTTTTTCGGCTTTTTTTTCTTTCCAAGAACAACCTTTTCTCCGGAAGAGACCCCTGACGCCATGCGGCCTATGCCATGTTTGGTGAACCCAACTGGGGCCCCTCGTTCCGGGTCACATCGTGAGCCGCAGCCCCAGCGAAGGAGCGGGAAAAGAGCTACGAAGGAAGTCGATTGCATAGGAGGTGCAAAGACAATGAAATAAAGCCCGTTCCCACAACGGTCCCCTCGCCGTGCCTCTGTTTTGCCTCGTCTTCTCGGCATCCCGTCTTCCATTAGTCGTTGTGACCATCACCATGAAGTCGCAAGCCGGATTCGCTGCTGCACTCTTGGCTCTCGCCCAGACTGCGGTGGCCCAAATACCAGAATGGGGTCAATGTAAGATCCTCCCACACGGACAAAGCAGTTTTCTCGGAAAATAGCTAACCATCGCATCGACAGGTGGTGGTTGGGCTTGGACAGGCCCGGTCAACTGTCGGGCTGGGTATTACTGCCAATACTGGAACCCATGTAAGAATCAAATTCCTGCCACGGCTGTTGGATCTCTCAGAGGAGGGCCCTGATCCTGAGTTCAAGACTGACCGTATCGAGATTACTCGCAATGTATCCCGGGTGAACCACCTCAGCCTACGACGACCACCTCCGCCGGCCCCGGGCCCACGACCTCCCCCGAGGTTTGCGGCGGCAAAGCCTTCGACTTCATCTCGGCCGAGGACTACGTCGCGGGCATGAACCCTGCCTGGAACCTGGGCAACACGCTCGACGCCGTCCCTTACGAGGGCATGTGGAACAATCCCCCTGTGGAGGACCATGTGTTCGACTATGTGGTTGAGCGGGGGTTCAAGGGCGTTCGCATTCCGGGTAGGCCTTTTTTTTCTTTTTCTTTTTTTCCTGTTGTTGCTTCCATCAAAATGATAGTACCCCCCCGCCTCCTCTATCAGAGCGCTGACCCAGTTTGCTTCATGTTGGCTAGTGACCTGGACGAACCTCCACTCCAGCGGTGCCCCCGACTGGACCCTCGACCCCTCCTGGCTCCAGCGCGTAGCCGACGTCGTTGACATGGCTCTGGCGCGGGACCTTTACGTTACTGTCAACGTACACCACGGTCAGTAATTCACTTGACTTTCGTCCCGAGGAGCTTAAGCCGCCGCCATGATGCCATACGCATCTTATGCTAACACGTAGCGCTGTTATGACTACCCAGACTCGTGGGAATGGGCCGACGTCACCTTGCCCAACGCCAACATCACACAAATCCAGGACCGGTTCCGCGCCATCTGGGAACAGGTCGGCACGAAGCTCGGCTGCGTTTCGTCCCTCGTGTCGTTCGAGTCCATCAACGAGCCCCCTGCCGACACGGAGGCCGAGGCGCAGCTGATCAACGAGTTCAACGAGATCTTCGTCGAGGCCGTCACCGAGGCGGGCGGTTTCAACACGCAGCGTGTCCTTCAGCTCACCGGGCCCGTGAGTGATGCGGCCAAGACGGCGGAGTGGTTTGTGCCGCCTGCGAATATTCAGCAGCCGTGGGCGCTCCAGTACCACTACTACTCTCCTTGTACGCGTCTATTCTGTTGTCCCCTACCCTTCTCACACACACAGCTAACGCAACCTTCGTCACCTCCCAGACGACTTCATCTTCGGCGCCTGGGGCAAAACCACGTGGGGCTCCGCCGAAGACTACGCCACCCTAACCGAAGAGCTCTCCCTCGTCCGCCGAGCCTTCCCGGACATCCCCCTCATCCTGGGCGAATACGACGCCAGCCACCTCAACACCGAGCCCGCGGCCCGGTGGAAGTGGTTCGACCAAGTCGCCCGCGTCTCGACCCAGCACGGCGTGGCCCTCGTGGTCTGGGACAACGGGCTGGACCACCTCGACCGCAACACGGGGGTGTGGCGCGACCCGGTGGCGCTGGACATCGTGGAGGCCGTGCTGCGCGGGGAGAACAACTCGCTCCCGGACGCGACCACGGACCATGGCGACCTGGAGCAGTGGAGTTCCGCGTTCGTGTGGAACCGCGCCGGCGAGACGGTCGGCGATGCGGAGCTCCCGTGGCTTTTCCACGGAAACTCGCTCGTCGGCGTGAGGACGCAGACGGGGGCTAGTCTCGTGCAGGGCGCGGACTACACTGTTTCGTCGTCGGCGGTGACGTTTAGGGCGTCGTTTCTGTCGAGGTTCCTGGGTCCGGATGTCGAGCCCGGGAGCAAGGCGAACTTGACGCTCACTTTCTCGTCTGGCGCGCCGTCTGTCGTGGAGGTGATCCAGTGGGACACGCCCGAGTTCCTGGCGCAGCCTTCGCCGGCGCTGGGCCAGGATCTGAACATCCCCGTTCAGTACAAGGGGTGGAGCATGGTTGCTGCGGTGCGAGCCGTTGCGGAGGATGGGACGTTCTTGTTTGATGACTGGACGCAGTGGCTGCCTCCCCTGCAACAAGGCCGGATTGTGAGTCCCACTCACTGTGACGCTCTTTTCGCGTTTTTCCTTGGATTTTCTTCATTGATTCTGGACGGATATATGTTTTTGCTGACACGATACCTCTGCAGACGTTCAACGGCCAGTATTTCTTCGACGGAGAGCAAGTCGTCATTCGGTCTGCATCCCTGGACGCTGTGGCGAGCCTCGGCCAGCCTGTCGACTTTGAATTCGAGTTTTACCCTCGCGTGCCTGGGAACTCGATCACTTTTACCGTTGATCCGGCGGACTTTTGAGGGGCGGGCATTGAAGGGCGGGCATTTGAAGGGACTCGAGGAGGTTTTCGCGTATCGCATTTCTCGTAGACGGATCAGGCCACTTCCATACGGTGCGCTGTATTTCGAGTGAATCTAGAGTATCCCTTCAGGGACTAGTCGAGTTCTCACTCCCACTCGTCTACCAAGAGGATACAGATCCCCTGAGATGTGGCAGTCCACAGCTGAATGATATTGGGAGACCTAAGGTACACGTACTTGACATGGTGGTGGACTGCGGCCCGGCAGGCGATCTGATTGGATCGGTACGGGGCCGGTCTCGGGGTGGGGCTGAACTCGGAGCCGAGGCCGAGAAGCAGCCGGAACAGACACCAACCACGGAGAAGGTCGGTCGCCTTGAGGTCAAAACCTTCCACTACACTACTCTGCCTCAATTAACATTCTGTTTTATAATTTCTCAATAATCACCAGGCCAATCATCTCGTCGGCCTTGAACCGTTGCCTCGAAACAAGAGATCTACGTTTCCTGGCATCCCCAATCCACGGCTTACCCTTTACGTCAAAGCACATCCACCAATCTCCAACTTGGCGGGGCACGATGGGGGGAGCGGATGGAAGCGGTCGAATAATCGACCTCCGGCTAAATTGAATTGCGGAGGGAGGGACGTAATGATTTGGTGCGAACAGTGAAACTAACACAAGCTTCCTATGTTACCCCGCGCTCGTATTCGTGAGCGTACAAGTGACGATAGGAGAGGGCATAAAGATCCCAAGCTATTGCGGTTGCGAGCTTCTGCTTCTCGACTTTTGTCCCTCCCACTCTCGACTTCCATCGACCAGTACCATTGAACACAACATGCCTCCTCTCCGAAACCCCATCCTCCCCGGCTTCAACCCGGACCCGTCCATCGTCCGGGTGGGCGAGGACTACTACATCGCCACGTCCACGTTCGAGTGGTTCCCCGGCGTCCAGATCCACCACTCCAAAGACCTGGCCAACTGGGACCTCGTGGCCCGGCCGCTGAACCGCAAGAGCCAGCTCGACATGCGCGGCAGCCCGGACAGCTGCGGCATCTGGGCGCCCTGCCTGACCCACGACGGCCACGAGTTCTGGCTCGTCTACACCGACGTCAAGCGCAAGGACGGCTCCTTCAAGGACACCCACAACTATATCGTCCGCGCCCCCGCCATCACCGGCCCCTGGTCCGACCCCGTCTACGTCAACTCGTCCGGCTTCGACCCTTCCTTGTTCCACGACGACGACGGCCGGAAATGGTTCGCCAACATGCTCTGGGACCACACGCGCCGGCGGCACGCCTTCGCCGGCATCCGGCTCCAGGAATTCGACCCCCAAACCGGCACCCTCGTCGGCCCGCGCCGCACCATCTTCCACGGCACCGACCTCGCCCTCGTCGAAGGGCCGCACCTCTACAAGCGCAACGGCTGGTACTACCTCCTCACCGCCGAGGGCGGCACCGCCTACGAGCACGCCTGCACGCTCGCCCGGTCGCGCGACATCTGGGGCCCCTACGAGCTGCACCCGCAAAAGCACATCGTCACCGCCAAGGACAGCCCCTTCGCGGCCCTCCAGCGCGCCGGGCACGGCGACATCGTCGACACGCCTTCGGGCGCGACCTACGTCGTCCACCTCGCGGGCCGGCCCACCACCCAGCGCCGCCGCTGCGTGCTGGGCCGCGAGACGGCCCTCCAGGCGGCCTACTGGGGCGACGACGACTGGCTGTACGTCAAGGACGGGCCGGTGCCGTCGCTGTACGTCGACGTCCCCGGCACGCGCGACGAGGAGGCCTACTGGGCGGAGCGGCGCTACACTTTCGACTCGGCGTCGGCGTCGGGGGAAGGACGGCTGCACAAGGACTTCCAGTGGCTGCGCACGCCGGAGCCGGAGCGCATCTTCGCGGTGGCGGACGGGACGCTGACGCTGTTCGGGCGCGAGTCGGTGGGGTCGTGGTTCGAGCAGGCGCTGGTGGCGCGGCGGCAGACGCATTTCTCGTACGACGCCGAGACGGTGGTGGCGTTTTCCCCGTCGGACGAGCGCCAGTTTGCCGGCCTGACGGCCTACTACTGCCGCTTCAACTTCTTCTACCTGGCCGTCACGGCCGACGAGGACGGGAACCGCGAGCTGCTCATCCTGAGCTCCGAGTCCTCCTGGCCCGACGGAGACCTTCGCATGCCGTTCCCCGCTGAGCCGGTCCCGTTGCCGGCGCGGGGGAAGGTGAAGCTCGCGCTTACGATCCGGGGGCCGCAGCTGCAGTTCTACTATGCCGTGGAGGGGGAGGGCCAGCAGGAGGAGCTGAAGCCTGTGGGTCCGGTGCTGGATGCCTCTATCATTTCGGACGAGTGCGGCGGGCACCAGGCGCATGGGAGCTTCACGGGGGCTTTTGTCGGCGTGGCGTGCTCGGATTTGAACGGCACGGCCGAGCCTGCCAAGTTTGATAATTTCACCTACCGGCCTGTTCGGGATCCCACCGATCGGTATGACATTTAGGATTGGTGTCTGGGTTGGGGCGGCGGAACGGATGGCCAGGGATGTATGACTATGATGAACTACGATGCGCCAAAGACTGAATAAGAGGTATGCATGTGTTTATGTAGAAGACATCCGAGAATTAGCTCGAGCAAAATGAAGTTTCGAAGCCGGTCTTGGAGAAAGATTCTCTTAATCTCGCTACACATGAAATCTCCCAAGTTGATGCTAGGTTGGTTAGACCATCGACTTTATGAACAAGGGTGGCACCCTAGCATCTTATACCGGCTTAGTGTCAAGCCACATAACAAATCGGCTCGGTGGTGTAGTTGGTTATCACGTCAGTCTAACACACTGAAGGTCGGGAGATCGAGCCTCCCCTGAGTCATCATTTTTTGTCTGTCTTTTTTTTTTTCGTTTGACTTGCCCTTGAAATTTCAGGTACTTCTCTTTTCCTCCTTTTCTCTTCTTTTCCCCTCCTTTTCTCTTCTTTTCCCCTCCTTTTTTCTTCTTTTTCTTCTTCCTTTTTTCACCATCGATTCACACCACCCAAGGTAATACAGCAAGAAGTTGGTTTCAATGTGATGTTTTATATTACAAAGTCATGGATCAGGTACTTGGGTTATACAATCATGCTCTTTTCAAGTCTGCTTTGAACGTAATGCTTCCCTTGTCACTCCTTTTGTTCACTGACACAGCTTTTCCATACTCGGAAGAAGAGAAACGGGGAAATGAAAGAGGAAAAAAAGAAAAACTAAGGATCGGCCTCCATGTGAGCCAGCAACTCGTCAAAAATCGAGTCCCGGCCATGATTGTACCGCATCTCGGCCTCGGTCCAGTTGATGACCGTCCAAACCGCATCAATGTACTGAGGCCGAGCATTCATATACTAACCAAAAAGCCCGTCAGTAAATCGGCGTTCGGGGAGAAACACACAAAAAGTCCCAAGGCAAGAGGGAAAGGAAACAGTACCTGAAGATAATACGCATGCTCCCAAACGTCCACCCCAATAAGCGGCACCTCCTCCCCCACCACCGGATCCTGGTCCTTGGTCGTTATGATGCGCAGCCCGCCCTGGGGAACGGCCGTCCGGACCAGCCAGCCCCAGCCCGACCCCTGCACGCCGTTGAGGGCGGCGGAAAACCGGTCAATGAGGGCGTCGAAGGAGCCGAAGGTGGCGCGCACGGCGGCCGCGAGGTTCGGGGCGCTGGCCTCCGGGTTCTGGGCGTCCTCGGACGAAGGGGGCGCCAGGTTGCGCCAGAAGAGGGCGTGGTTGATGTGGCCGCCGCCGTTGAAGCGGATGCACGGGAGGAGGGCGATCTGGTCGGCGATGTTGGCGGCGCCGGCGTACGAGGCGAGGGCCTTGTTGAGGTTGGTGACGTAGGCTTGGTGGTGGCTGTCGTGGTGGAGGGCCATGATGGCTTCGGAGATGGCGGGTTCCAGGGCCTGCGGTGGGTGATGGTGAGTGGGGGGGCGTGGGTGTGAGGGTCAAAGACGGACTTACGTTGTAGGCGTAGGGGAGAGGCGGGAGGGAGTACTGCTGGACGGCCATCTTGGGAGGGTTGGGATATTCCTGGGTGTTGAGGTGAAGAGGTCAATAGCGATGCGGCGAAGACAATGTCGAGTTGTCTCGAAAGAAGAAATGAAAGATGAAGAGGAGTATGGATGTATAGGAGTTCACAGTATAAAAGTCATGAGTCATGATAAATGAGGACAAAAGGGGGAGGATAAGACATGGAAGGCTTACCATCTCGGCGTATTGGATGTTCGTCTGGAAGTCGTTAGGGACAACCTGCGTGCCGGATGCGCTTGCGCTTGCACTGGCACCGGCACCGGCACCGGCGGTAGACGAAGCGGCGACGTCGGTCATCTCGGGTGGCGCTTGCTTGTTGGCCCGGCCGTGGGACGATGGGCGATGTTACAGTACGAGCGACGAGTACGCACGTAAGATGTGCAAGTTACGGGCGTAGTGGGATTATGTAAAATCCAGTCATTAATGAATTGTATGTATACTGAACTAAGAGTCGTCGGGTGCGATGGCAATGGGGAAGAGGATGCATGGGTGTGATCAAGACACGGTCGCGAATGGTCCTGAAAATGAAGCATTGCCATTTTAGGGGCCCCGACTTATTTTAGCGGATGGCTATAGCGGTTTAGTGGTTCGGCCCGAACCTTTCAGGCGTTGTCTACAACGAACGGTACACCCATTAGTCAGCTTACGGCAATCCTTTTACACCAGAGCAGAGGTTCAAAGGCTCTGTTTATAAAGACCGTAAAGGCTACGAGAATATAGCTGTTTTTTATTTTGACTTAATAGTCTGCTTCGTGCTTATACCAAGTCATCTCGAGACGTGACATGATCCAAGATGTCATTAGTTAAGATACTTTGAGGCGGGTTGGACACCGCTCACCGAGATCTGAATACCACGACTCACCGAGCACTCGCCGGTACCTGGCTAAGAGACTACAATCACTTCATCTTAGCAACGGAGTACAGACGCACCTCATTCCACAGTTATCGCTCCGAGGTGCACGGGGAAATCATTCCTCCTTCACTTGATTTTATTCATTACTATTTTGGACCTGCCCGAAATCCCATCCCCCCCTGGGCTCCCCTACTTCTGCCCATACTTCTCCTGATACTGCGGCAGATTCTCCGTTATGAAAGGAAGAATATAATCCAACTTGCCAACCTGCACCCCCCTGTTCCTCAAAATGGCAAAAGTCGCATTGACATGAAAAGCAACAGTCGGCATCGAGAACCCCAGCGCATAGTCCCTCACAGGCGCCTCCAGCGAGATGTCCGGCCCCAGGTTAAACGCAACCACCTTGTCCTGGCCCGCGTCGTAGCCGGCGGGGTCGGCCGCCGCCTCCTCCAGCAGCGCGAGCACCTGGTCGATGCGCGCGCCGAGCAGGTCCGCCGTGTCCAGGCCCTCCTCGTCGTGCTTCAGGTCGAGCGGCTCGACGCCGCGCACGCGCGACACGAGGCGCTGCGCCGCGTCCGTGGCCGCGTGCACCTGGAACGGCAGCCCGTGCATGTCCGGCGCCAGGCTGGCCTTGGTGAAGACCGCCCAGGGCGTGTTGGTCGCCTTGGCGTGCACCTCGGCCTTGTTGATGAGGTGGCGGAGGGTCTGGAGGTAGGACTTGGCCTGGAGGACCGTGGCGTTGAAGAAGAAGGACGGCATTGTGGTGGGTTTTCTTCGTCTCTTTGTCTCTTTGTGTCTTTGTGTGTGTAGTGGCGGTTCGAGTAAGAGGAGGGGTATTCAGAGTTGAGAGATTTAGATGGGAGGCTTTAGTGAGTGAGAGAGGAGTGGGAGGAGAGATGGCAGAAACCGCTGAGAGACGGAGAGTGACAAAGTGATCTGATATAAGATTCTCGACCACTCCAACCCAATACACCTTACCCTCCCCTTACCCCCTTACCCCTTGCCTGCCCGTGTTGTCTTGCATGTATGGAAGGGAGGGGAAAGAGGAAGAATCCACATCTCCAGCTTCAGGCATTGGCCTTCTAGCAAGCAGCAGCTTTTGCTGGTTCTCCACCTGTCCATTCGCCCAAGTCTTCTCTTAGTTCCAACACCCTTGGATTCTTTGAAATCAGCTCTCGATCGGATGACAAATACATACAAAAAGAAAAACAGAACGCATGCCTATCAAACTGCTCCAAACAGACAACAACACAACGGAGGCCCCTGACGGGCGGCTATGTTGGTAAAAGCCCCTGAACAAAGTACTTCCTACTTCTTGGATTCGGCGGCTTTCCTACCCCACGAGTGTCACTGTATCATTAATAATCAGGGCAGGCTTTAACGTGTAGAGTGAGCGGTGGACAGTGCTGCAGGGTCCCACCATCAAAAGTCCGTCCCCACCGTTGGATTTATCAGCAATGCTCCCTCCGTACAGAGTCCCTCAACACCAACAACTCTCTCACACCTCAAGCCAGACGGAGTCAAGACACCTCAGAACGGGACACATAAGGGGGATAGTCATGTTCCTGGTCTAGTTTTACCTTCTGACCGCATCGTGCTAAAACATACTAAAAACAAAACCAAATACACTCCCGTCTGACGCCTCATGTCTACCCGGCCCTGTTGACTTACACCGACGGGAGAAACAGGGGCAAAACACACCACCACCCCACGTCCCGCCGCTACCTTTTTGATTCGTAAGCAACGGCAGGTAAGAGAAATGCAACTTCGGACTCCGCAGGTCTGTATCATGTCAGGTACGAGGTATGCGTGATAGTCCGCCTCACTTATGCCAACCCCCCGAACCCTGTCGCAGCTCGCTCACCTACAACGTACAGTAGACGACAGCCACCATGGCAATACCACCCGGAAGCTCTTTTGCTCTCCCGCCTACACCACAACCTACACCAGTCACAGATCGTAAAGACGTAGACAGACCCGTGGAATTTGAAGCAAACCAGTCAACTTCTCCACCATACCCATCGCTTCCCAAAAAACCCATGCCAGCGCTATTCGGCAGTCCAATCCATATATCCATGCGGTATAACCTATGTACACAAAGGCCGTCAAGGGAGTAAAGGAAAAAAAAAAAAAAAAAAAAAAAAAAAAAAAAAAAAAAAAAAAAAGTTGAATCGTAAGAAAAGGCCGCTCATCACTCCTTACTACTAAACCCCCTTCGTATCCTCATCATCTCCCCCCGGAGATCCCGGTTCTCCGTCTCCAACCCACTCAGCCGGTGCCGCGCCGCGTTCCGGTCCTGGTTCCTCCCCTCGCGCTCCGCCTTGAGCTTGGCCTCCAGGTCCCGCAACCGTAGCATCCACGCCTTGTCGTCCGTCGTCAGCCCTGTCCCTGCCCCGACCCCGGCACTTCCTCGCTCCGCCACCGCCGCGCCCGCATCGTACGGCTTGAGCCCACCCCCCGAACTGCCCGTTCCCGTCCTCGTCATCGTCCCCGGCCTGTCCACGTCCCTGCCCCGCCGCCCTTTCATCTCTCGGTCCCGCGGCCCCGTCGGGATCGAAGGCGACGGGCTGCCGCTTCCATCGCCCCCGCCGCCGCCGCCGCCGCCACCACCACCACCCGATGCGTACGCCGCCCGCGTCCGCAACGTCGCATTCTCCACCTTGAGCTGCCGGTACGCCTCCTCCAGCCGCGCCAGCCGCGAGTGGTCGTGCGAGTTGAGCGTCCCCGACGCCACCCCGTTCCGCACAATCGACTCGAGCCGGTCCAGCTTCTTGGCCCGCGTGTCCAGCAGGCCCTCGAGGTTCTGGTACTCCTTCCACAGCTCCCGCTCCACGTCCTTGATCCGCGACTGGAACCCGCCCACCATCGTCTCGATCGTCTTGACCGCCGCCATCAGGTTCTTGCTGAACCCCGGCAGCATCGTGCCCACCGACTCCAGCGACGGCAACGCCCGCCCGTTGATCAGGCTGTTGTCGTGCGCCCAGTCCGTCCCGCACAGCCCCGAGAGCCGCGTCCACAGCACCAGCAGCAGGTTGTTGCGCTCCGTCAGCTGGTCCCGCAGCGTCGTCTCCAGCTGCGCGATCCTCTTCTTGTCCTGCCCCCGCCCCGCCTCCAGCTCCGCGATGCGCGCGTCCTGCGAGCTGACCGTCCGCGACACGTGGCTGTGCGTCTTCTGGAACGTTTCGAACTGGCTCTTGGTCGCGCGGTGCGCCTGCTGTTCTTTGCTGAGGAGCTCCGACAGCTTCCGCAGCTCCAGTCCGTGTGATTCGAGTAACGCGTCGCGCTGCTTGATGATGCGGTCCTTTTCCACCAATGATGCCTTTGTCGAGTCCAGGTCGCGGATCGTGTTTTCCAGCTCGCGCTGTAGCCGTGTGATGTTCTGTACAACAGGTTAGTCTGGCCATTGAGAAAAAGGAGAAAAAAAAAAAAAAAAAAAGACACACCTTCAGCAAACTAGACCTCGTCCCGTTCAGGTCGCCCAGGGCTTCCCGCAGATTATTCTCCAGCTCAAACAGCCTCTCCTTCCACACCGTCGCCTCCACCTCCCGCGAATCCAGGCTCTTGCGCAACCTACGCGCCTCGTCCTTGGCCGTCGACATCTCCCGGTTGAGCTCGTTGACAAACTGCTGCACCTCCTCCTTCTCCTGGCTCGCCACCATCTCGCGCTGCTGCCGCTCCTCGGCCAGCCGCGCCTCCAACTCCCTCACCTGCTCCTGCTCGTCCCGCACGCTCTGCAGCGCGTCGTTGTGCGCCGCCTCGAGGTTGCTGATGCGGATCTTGTCGGCCTCCTGCTCCTCCCGCAGGAACGCAATCTCGCTCTGGCTCGACTCCTGCTGCACCCCGAGCCGCTGCGCCTTGTCGTTGGTCTCGCGCAGCTTCGTCTCGAGCTCCTCCGACTCCCCGTTGGCGTCTTGGAGCTCCTGCTCCAGCTCGTGGATCCGACCGACCTTCTTCTCCTGCTCGTCCTCGAGCCGGACCAGCGCCTCGCTCATCCTGCGCATCTCCTCCTGCAGGGCGGCGAAGTTCTCCGACCGGTCGTCGAGCTCCATCTGCAGCCTGTCAAGCTCCTCGTTCCTCTGCTCCGCCTCCCCTTCGAGAGCGTCGATCTCCTCTTGGGCCTCCTTCCGCAGCGCCTCGAACGCGGCCTCCATCTCCGCATGTTCGCGCAGCGCCTCGTCCCGCTCCGCCTGCAGCGCCATCAGGTCGTTCACCGCGTTGTCGAGTTCTTCCTGCAGTGCGGCGGCCAGCTCCTCGGCCTGCTTCTTGGCCTCGACCGCCGTCTCGAAGTCCTCCATGCAGCCGTCGAGCTCCCGCTGCAGCTCCTGGTTGTGCAGCTTGACCTCGTTCACCCTGTCGCGTGCTTGGGCCAGTTGGTTCTCCAGCTCCTCCCGTTCGGGGTCTTCCATCTCGGTCGTCACCTGCGTCCTCGTGTGGCTTACGCGGGACATGGACCGATGGTGGCTGCCGCCTCCGGCGCGGGACGCGGACCGCTCGAGGATGCTGTCGATGGTGGACGGCGCCGTGGCCCCACGCCGCATGGCCATCTTCAGGTCCTCTATCTCCTGGTATAGGCGCTCCTTTTCGCGGTTCCTGGACGTCAACATGGAGGTCTGGGCGCCGACTTCGCGCCGTAGTTCGGCATTCTCGTGTCGCAACTGCTCGCTCTCCCGGCGCAGCTCGTCGACCAGGGTGCTCGCCGTGCTGAACCCGGCGTTGGTCTCCGTCTCGCCGGACAGTCCGGATACTGGCCGGCTGCGGTTTGGTGACATCTGCCGGTTCTTCTTGCTGATGTTGTAAATATTCGTGGTGTGATGCAAGCCTCCTCCCGTTGACCCTCCTCCCCCCCCTCCTCCTCCTCCTCCTGCTCCTCCGTGCGCCGAGATGACCTCGTGCTTCAGCCGGTAGATCTCGTCCCGCATGCGCTTGTTGTCCTCGTCTGCCTGCTCCCGCCGCGCCGTCTCCTGTTCGAGTAGATCCTTCCACACGTCGGCCTCCTCCTGCCTCCCGAGGTTCTCGCTTCCTGTCCTCTCCCCCAGTGACTTGACCATCTCGGCGAGCCTACGCTTTTCAGACTCCTTGGACATGCTCTCGTTCCGCAGCTTTTCCATCTCGACGACGTATTCCTCCACCCGCTCACGTAGGTAGATGAGCTCCTCCTCGCGTTCCTGGGCGTCCTGGTCGAAGAAGTGGCCGCCGCTCTGGTCGTTCGAGGAGGCGGCGCTGCGGGCGGTGCTGGGCCTGTCTTCGTCCTCCTTGAGCTGCTTCTCTAATTCCTTGACGCGGCGACGGAGGGCCTTGTTGTCGTGCTGGGCGACAGCGAGGGTGGTCTTGAGTTCGACATTCTCCGAGATCATTTCCTTAATACCCTCTTCGGAGAGCTTGTCGAGGCGGTCGCTGAGGAACATGACCTTCAGTTTCAGGTCGAAATTCTCCTTGGATAGTCTCTCGATGGTGCTGCTCTGTTCCTTGAGGGTCAGGTTCCTGCCAGAACGGCCAGTGCCGACCAGCGTGGTGGTGTCCGACGGCTTCCTAGGCGTCGCCAGGCCGCTCTTGGACCTGTACTCCCTGGCCAGGGATTCGGGCACTTGCACGTTCCTCACATGGCGGGCAAGAACGGTATCGGTGGGAGCGGCGAGGCTGCTCTTAGCAGCCTTGGGCGTTTTCAGAGGATCCTCCCTGGCGGCCGGGCGGTTCGGCGAAGCGTCGTTCTCGTCCAGAGTCGCCAGCGGCGTCTGGCCGGTGTCGGGCCCATCGTCGACCCCCGATGCCATGCTGCCCATGCTGACGGACCGTGAAAGGCTATTGCTGATGCTCCGGGGAATCATCGTCCCGGGGCCGCCGAGGGCGTAGTCGGGCCCCATGCCGACGGTCACGTCACTATCGAGGTCGTCTTGCGAATCGGGGTTGGTGACGAAGGACGAGATGGAGGAGCGCTGGCTAGTGCCACGGCTTCGCAGGTATTTGGGGCGCTTCCCGTGGCGCAAGGCATGGCCCGGGGTGTTGCCGGCGTCCGCAGAGACTTTACGCAGACTCCGATCCGACGCCTGACGGCGAAGAGCGGTAGAGGAGGCCTCGGACTGGGTCATGGACCGATCAGCAGCGAGATGGTGGTCGTCCTCGTCGTCGTCGGCACCGCGACTCTCACTTTGCGTGACGTGATAGGACGAAGCTCTGCGGGCCTCCCTCCTGCCGCTAGACACGGCGCGTGAGATGGTTCTCCGAGCCGCAGCGGCAGTTGGCGAAGATGACAGGTTCTCGAGAGAAGAGGTCGTATTACTGACGTCGGCCGATACGGAACCGTCTTGAGCTCGCCGTCGAGGGAGGTGGAGGGAGGACTCGTCGCGCACGGGCGATGTGTCGGGTGCAGCCGCGGCGTTTTCGTTGGGGGCCTGGTCGGTAGAGTTATGTTGGGACGTAGAAAGGGGCATATGTTTTGTAGGACTCGGGCCGTCAAAGAGGTATGTATCATCGGCACCAGACTGGACTAGGGCTGGGATCTGGACAGTGGACAACTGGGAGACGAAGCTGGACTCGACATCTTGTAGGTGGGCTCGCACAGCGTCTTCGGCGTGGGAGTCGTTGTGTTGCCTGGATTCGTCAAACGTGATGCCCTCAAGGTAACTGGGATCGGGAAAGGCGGCGTTGGGTTGATTTCTTTGATGTGGTATCTGTTCCGGCTTCTGGTACTGACCCCGGCCCTGACCCTGACCCTGAGTCTGACCCTGAGTCTGACCCTGAGCCTGAGCCTGAGCCTGAGCCTGACCCTGAGCCTGACCCTGACTCTGCTCCATCTGGTCCGGCTGATGGGAATGTAATGGGTTGGCGGCAGACGGTAGTTGTTGATGTTGCGGTTCTTTCTTCAGGGGAGAAACAACCGAGTCGTCGAGGGCAGGGGGGTCGAGGAAAAAGGAGGAGTCGACGCGGTGGGAGGTGGCAGGACGGGAATTGGAGCCGGGGCTCGATTGTCTCGGAAAGTCGTCGTCCTCCATCGGGGTCTATGATGATGGCGGACGTCTGATGGAAATCGAAAACATGGGTGTCGTAGGGGCGACGGTGAGACCGGGGGGG